CTTCCTAAATCAGGGATAAAACATCTAGAATAATTTAATAAACCTAAAAATGTTTGTAATTGTTTTTTATCCTCTAGTTTATCTAGAAATTCTAACACTTTTTTAGATACGTGTTCTTGTAATTGTATAGTTCCTTACTTAATATACATACCTAAGAATTCTATATCTTGTTTTTCAAGCTCTCCTTTATTCCTACTTATAACTATACCATTATCAATAAATTCTATTAAAATAATTTCTAAGTGTTTTTTATGTTCGTTTTTATTTTACTATGAACTAATATATCATCTACATATACACTACAAAAATTATCATACTTCTTAAAGATTTGGTCCATCTTTCTTTGAAAGATCAATGGTGCATTTTTTAATCCAAATGGCATTACAAGCTATTCAAAATGTCCTTTGGGACAAGTAAATGTTGTCCATCGGATTGATTCTTCTGCTAATCTAATTTGCCAGAATTCTGTTTTACAATCAAATTTACTAAAATATTTACTTTCTTGAATTTTATTCATAAGTTCATCTTTATTTGGTAGTTTATAGCGATCTTCATAAGTATTATCATTTAATCTCCTATAATTATACACTATTCTAGCTTTACCTCTCTTAAGTTCTGAGTGTTTTCTAACTACAAAAGCTGTTGATCTATATCTAGATTTTGAAGGTCTAATTACTTTTAGGTTTAAAAGTTCTTTTATTTATTGTTCAAATTCTTGCTTATCTAACAAGTTACAGGGCATATCTGCTATTTTAATTGTTAAGTCTTGATTGATAATGTCTAATTTTGCTAATATCTTATTCTTATTCCAATGTAATTGGGGATCTTCTCATATAATACTGGTTTGTTCAACTAATTGTAACAATTCTTCTAAATTCTTTGGTCTATCTATTTGCATAATTTCTAAAGGCTCTACGTTTTCTATAATTGGATACTCATGATCAAATATTATATCATCACATATTCTTGATTATTTTGTTCATCTATTTTTTCTTCACTTATTTCTTCTAATTCTTCAATATTATATTTAAAATTTTGTTCCTCTATGTTAATACTATTATAAGACTCTAATATATTACTTTGATCAATTGTGGTTATACCTTTCTTAAAAAATGTAATGTCTGGAGGTGTATATAAAAATCCTCCTTGTAAACTTTTTAAGAAATTTAATCATAAGATAAAGGGATATGATCCTACTGGGGATATAAAGGTTAAGGGTAAATTAAACTGTTCTCTTTCTATCCTAATTGGTATATTATTAATACAGTATGTTAAGTATACAGGTCTTGCATCAAACTGTATAATTCTTACTGGTCTAGCTAGTTTTTGCCTAATTGACAAGACCAGACCCAAATTCCATTTTGGAATTCGAGCCAAACCATGTGCGTGTTTGACACTTGGCGAATGCCGGGCACAAATGACCAAATTGCCCTTCTAACTAGAAACCAATTTTACTATCAGTTAGACTTCTGCCGAAAATTCGGCAGAGTCTCCCCTGTAATTTGCTCGTTTCCCAAAAGTTTCCACATCTCAACAAACATTTATATATCTCAATCGTTCAGCATGCACTAAATTATATCCAAGCAATCAAGCATCATATCATTCTGGCCTTAGGCCTCAACAAATCAAATAAATCATTCTACTAATAAAATTCGATTCTAAATTTTAGAACATCCCCAGAACAAGGTCAGGTTTCAAAATAACTTAACTGGACTGCTTGTCAATCACTTGACCTCGTGGCTGCACCTAGAATTCTAGGTTGCCTACGTACCCTTAACAAGGGATCAAGCCACACGTAGTTCTTCTTCTTTTTATGTTGCATTTTCTATACTCGAACAGAAACCGAACATGCATAGTTTATATTTATATAACAATTCATATGTATGCATAAGTTTTCATACCCGTTAAACACATTGTAAAATAAAGATTTTCTTCCACCTAGGTGTACTTATCATTATCCGTTGATTTCCTCGTGTCACAGTTTGTGACACATCCTCGCAAGCCTCGGTAACACAGAGTCGATCTGAGCTGCAATCCTCGCAGGGCTCAGGAGACTTTTAGTCACCCTGATCCGCAATCCTCGCTCCACACGGTCCAGATATCCCTAAGACTTGTGGGGCAAAGTCAAGCATGTTGACCTAACAGAAGGCAACAGAAATACCGAAGGCAACACTTATTATATGTGGGTACCTAGGGTGGTTTTTAGAAAATATAAATTTCTAGAAGGTCTGGAATAAATAAAACGAATTCTTTTTATCTTAAAACTCTACTGTCATCCCATTTGATAGTTCTCTGAAATTCTTATTTTCCATAGTCTTTAAGCGTTCTCAACTCGGCAGCATATAAATAAAATATTTAACCTCAGCAAAATATGCTAGAAAAACTCTGAGCTATTTAATACTTATTCAAGATCAAATAATGAAATTGATTTGCATAAATTCATTTATGAAAACAAAAGTCCACTCACTAAACTTCTTCTAATTCGTAATTCACTTATATATACGAACTTACATTATTATATGTATAATAAAGATAAAGATAAAAGTAAAACAAACAAACTCTGAAGACACTTTTAATCTTTCCTTCGAAACTCACATAAAGCTCGATATAAATATATACACACACATATATATATATATATACAAATATTTATATTAACTTATCTTAGATAAGTAGGAAAACGATAAAACTATTAAAATAGTCTTATTCATGAAAACCTTACCAACGACTAAAATTGAATTCTAAATTTTTATATTGTTGTTTATAAGGTCTATATTTTCTATAACTTTTTCTATATGGCTTCTTTCTGCTTAAATTTCCTATGACATCTATATTGTTTTGGTAAATCTATATTTTTACAGCTCATGTAAAATTGTTTTCTAATTTGTCTTTTTGCTTTAATTTGACTACATTCTGATCGTAATATGTCACATACATGTTGTATTCTTGCTCTTATGGATACATCTAGTTTCCTAGGATTTTTTGCCATTCATTCCATATTCTTTCTTCTATTGGTCCTTCAATTTTTGTCATATAAGTATCTAGCAAATTAAGGTCATCAATTCTACCTGTTCTACCTAAATATTTAAAAATATCTTAAGTATATTCACTAATATATTGCAAATCACAAATCTGTAATTGTTCTAAATTGCTTATGGCTCTAATTTGCTCTTGTTAGTTTCTACCATCTAATCTATTATAATCTAAAAACTCATATTTGATTAATTTAACAAAAGCATCTATATTAAATATTTCTTTTGTTGCTTGATGTTCTCTTGGATTTTTAGTTTTCCATGCTTGGAAGTAATCAAAAACCATTCCATCTAAAATATGTTTAAAATAATCTAACATATCTTTATTATTACTAAAGTCTAACATTAATGCTGCATGCACACTTTTCCCATCTTTCTATTGTTTTTTCCCAATCTTGTGGGTCTACATGATCTAAATTTAATATATTTTTTGCTAAACTAATTTTTTCAATTCCTTTATAAGGGATTCTATTTTTTCTTATTCCAAATGTTTCTTGTTGGAAAGCACTCCTACTAGTTTCTTCATTATTTTCTATATATGGTTCATTAGTTTGCCTAAGATTTTGCTAGTCTGTTCTACTTGCAGGGGCTACAAATGATCCAATTAAACTATACTAATCTTCTACTGGCATGCATTCTACTTCAATTAACATATTTTGATATTCTTTTTCTCCTAAAATGTGTTCTAATCCCCTATATTTAAAATTAAATCTTTCATTTCTTTGTCGGAAAATCTATGTAATCCTAAATCATAAGTTTTATATTTTTCTATATATTATTCTTCATCTAAATTATCTGCGTCATCTATGAGTTTATCAACTATATTATCAAAATTATGCTCAATCATATTTATTTCTAAGTTATCAAATGCCTGTAAGTCTGTACTAAGCTTTTAAACTATAATACTAACCTTGTTCAGCCATGGTAGCAGTGGAGTATCTTGATTTCTTGTAGAGAGTCTTCATCCCTTTTGCAGTTCTTTAGTTTCTCTTTCTCTTAGATAGGGTGAGATCTGATTTGAGAGTGTATTTGCTGCAAGGGAAGGGACCTCTATATATAGATGCATCACTACGAAAGCTTTGGCTATCAAGAAGCATTCGAGTGTCCTTTTTGCATTAGAATAGGTTTGTTTCAATCCATGTTGAATTAGGAATCCTGATAACACTTGTGTTTGATTTTAATAAGCTCTGTACAAGCATTATCTAATAGGGATTGAGTTCTATCTCCTGATCAGACCAAAACTCGAGTCCTCTTAGGATTAGAAGATCACCTTTTCGTGGATTAAGACAACAAATTGTCTTACATTCTCCCACTTGATCGATTAATCCCAAAGTTTTGTGTTGATCACTTAAGGCCTTTGTGAAATATAACTCAATCTGATTCCATCAAGCAATTGTCAATTTTAAAGAATGAAAAGGAACCATCAAGACTTCACTGAATATATAAGGATCCAGAGTCTTTATAATCACATTGATCATTCTTTAAAACCACATAAGCTTCCATCAAGATTAAACAGAAAAATAAACATGTTTCACTGTAAAGCTTTATGAACATGTCTATTCAATGTCCCTTAATTTGACTACTAAGGTCTTATCATTTAAAATGATATCCTGTCATGAATGAAAATCATATGCAGACATCTTCAGCTAGCTTTCTGCTCAATTCATTCAAGTGTTTATAAGTATATATACACATAACAATTAAACATATAAACTGTTTAACTAGAAAACTTTATTTCTGAATCAGAAACTGAAATCAACATCCATCGAAAACCATAACCAACTGTAAATTAAGACTATAACAGAAAACTACTCTAAACTTAACAAGGCTCCCACTGATTTAAGCATTCAAATCATTCCTTAATCCCATGCTCATAACATGCCTATGGAACACTACATTTGGGACTCCTTTTGTGAGAGGGTCTGCTATCATTTTGTCTATACTGATATGACTTATATTAGTATAGCCTTAAGCAATTTTCTCCTTCACTATTATGAACTTGACATCCAATAGTCTTGAACCCTTTGTTCTTTTGTTTCCTTTTGCAAACAAAACTGCTGCGCTGTTATCATTCCATATTTGAATTGGTCTGTGTATCGATTCAACCACATTCAAACTGATAATGAAATTTCTTAACCATATGGCTTGAGAGGTGGCCTCATAGCATGCTAGAAACTCTGCAAACATAGTTGAACCTGCTGTCTGAGGTTGTTTTACACTTCTCCATGACACTGCACCTCCTCCAAACACGAATACAAAACCTGATGTTGATTTCAAGGAGTCTTGACATCCTGCAAAATCAGCATTTGCATATCCTTGTAATTCCAGCGTGTCACTTCTTTTGAATGTCAGTTTATAATCTTTTGTCCTTTGCAAGTATCTTAAAACTCTTTTCCCTGCAATCCAGTGAGCTTGTCCAGGATTGGACTGAAATCTTCCTAGCACACTGACTGCAAAGGCCAAGTCAGGTCTGGTACAAACCTGCGCATACATTAGGCTTCCTACCAGTGAAGCATATGGTTTGTCAACCATTTCCAACTTTTCTTGCTCAGTCTTAGGTGCTTGTTCAGTGCTTAGTTTATCCCCTTTTGCAATAGGAATATCACTTCCTGTGCAGTTTTGCATACTGAATCTCTTGAGCACCTTTTCTATGTAGGATTTTTGTGATAGTCCAAGTACCCCATTTTTTCGATCTCTACTTATATCAATTCCTAAAACATATGATGCCTCAGCTAGATCAGTCATTTCAAAGTTCTTAGATAGGAAATTCTTGCAGTCATGTAACATGGTGAGATTTGTGCAGGCTAGTAAAATGTCATCTACATACAAAACTAGTATAATGAAATGTCTCCCACTCATCTTCATGTATATGCTTTCATCTAAAACATTTTCAACAAAACCAAAGTCTTTCACTACCTTGTTGAACTTTAGGTACCACTGTCTAGAGGCTTGCTTTAATCCATAGATTGACTTGTTTAGCTTGCAGACCAAGTCCTTTCCCCTTTCTTGAACAAAACCTTCAGGTTACACCATGTATATGTCTTCTTCCAAATCTCCATTTAGGAAAGCTGTCTTAACATCCATCTGGTGCAAGTGGAGGTCAAAATGTGCTACAAGGGCCATGATAACCCTTAATGAATCCTTGGTCGAGACTGGTGAGAAATTCTCATTAAAATCTATTCCTTCTTTCTGTGTGAATCCCTTTGCAACCAATCTTGCCTTATACCTGTCTATCTGTCCTTTTGAGTCTAGTTTCGTTTCATATACCCACTTACTACCAATTGGTTTGCAACCTTGAGGTAAGGTCACAAGCTTCCAGACTCCATTTTTCTCCATTGAATTCAGTTCTGACTTCATTGCTGCAAACCAGTTTTCTTTCTTTTCACTTGTCATGGCCTATTTGAATGTTGCAGGATCTTCCATGGTATTCACATCATGTTCTGCTCCCTGTAGGTATACAAAATAATCATCTCCTCAGGCAGGTTTTCTTTGCCTTTGTGATCTTCTTAGTTCCAAGTTTGGTTCTGGATCTGCTACTTCTTGTGCTTGAGCCATGTCTTGATTTTCTGCTGGTGGTGCTTGATTGTCATTTAACTCCATTGGTTCTGCAATTTCAGGTCCATTGACATTGGTCTCTTCAGTGTGTTCTAGCTGAGTGTTGATTGAATCCATTTGAGGTAATCTAACAATTTCTTCACCTGGATTCTGTGGCATGTCATGGTTCAAGGTTATTTCTTTAAAACTGAAACTTTCTTCCTCATCTATTTCTTGGTCAGTTTCTATAAAGACTGCTCTTGAGGTTTCTATGAATTTGGTAGTGTGTTTGGGACAATAAAATCTGTATCCCTTTGTTCTTTCAGGATAGCCAACAAAAAAAACCACTTATGGTTTTCGGATCCAACTTCTTTTCTTCTGGATTGTAAGGTTTTGCTTCTGCTTTACAGCCCCATACTTTCAGATGTTTAATGCTAGGCTTCCTTCCATTCCATACTTCATAGGGAATTCTATTATGCTTTTGGTTGGAATTCTATTTAGAATATAGTTGGCTGTTTTTAAGGCTTCTCCCCAAAGAAAAATTGGCAGATTTGTACAGCTCATCATACTCCTTATCATGTCTTTCAAGGTCCTGTTTGTTCTTTCTGAAATTCCATTTTGTTGAGGTGTACCTGGGTTGGTGTACTGAGCTATAATTCCTTCTTCTTGAAGAAACTTAGCAAAGGGTCCAGGATTCCTTCCAGTCTCATCAAACCTTCCATAGTACTCTCCTCCTCTATCCGATCTAACCACCTTTATTTTCAAGTTCAACTGGTTTTCTACTTCAGCCTTATAAATTTTGAACTTGTCCAATGCACTTGATTTCTCTTTAATGAGATAGATATATCCATATCTTGAAAAATCATCTGTAAAAGTTATAAAGTAGTTAAATCCCTCATGAGTTGGATTTGGAAAGGGTCCACATATATCCGTATGAATGAGTTCCAATAAACCTTTGCTTCCCAATACCCCTTTCTTTCTTAAGTTGGTTAATTTCCCTTTGATACATGGAATGCAAACTTCATCTTCGTTTTCATGATTCAATGGTGGTAAGACAGATTCCTTGCACAGTTGTGTTATCCTTTCTTTTGAAACATGTCCAAGTCTTTTATGCCATAATTTGAAGGAAATCTCATTGGTTTTAGTTTGCACAGTGTTTATTTCCATTTTAGTTCTTTTGCAGTTTAATCGAAACATTCCATCAAAATTCAAACTGAACTTTGATTTTACAAGTCTAGTAACTAAAATCAAACTCTTCTTCATAGAAGGAACATAAACTACTTCATCTAATTCCAAAACAAAACCAAATTCTAACAGGATATCTGCATATCATTTCGTGGATTAAGACAATAAATTGTCTTACAATGCCATGTGTATTTTTTCTTCTAATTCACTTTCTAAGTCTTCTATATCATTTATTTGTTTATAATTAGTAAATCTTACTATTGCTTCACCTATACGATTTTCAAAAATTTGTACTTTATCAAGTTGTCTATTTTTCGCTACTTGTAAATTGGGTAAAGTTCATTATGTTCCTTCTAAAAAACTATTATCTACTGGTTTTGCCTCTATTATATTAACATGCTTACTACCAAAAGTTTGTACTAAATTTTGAAATTCTACATTAAATTTATAATTATAATTCTCTGAGATTTTTCCTACATACATAAGACTAATGCTTAAATTTTTGTACTCACCTTTCATATTATAATTTTTTGTTCTTATGCTAATTTTAATATGTTTACTAAATTCTCTAATATTCATGACATAATTAGGAATACATCCTATAACTACTAGGTTTGTGCTAAGATCTACTTTTGTTGTGGCTATAGCTGCTTGGTGATGGTTATCCCATCTGTCATCATATATGTATACTAGTGCTTCCTACTTGTGCTCTAGTGAGTCTAGCTATTCCTATCATAATTGTTCCTATATGAATTTCTTGATAGTGTGATTTTCTAAGATGTTCTATTGCTGTGTTACTAAGTAAATTAAGAGTTACTTCTTTATCTATAAGCTAACTTCATGTTGACTGATGCTACTTACAATACTATGCCTATTTTCAAATCTTCATAATTGATATAAATTATATTTATTTTTCTGAGATTTTTCAAAGCATTTTCTAAGAAATTCTTGTGCTTCTTGTTCACTAGGGTATATATCTTCTATTGTAACTATTTCTTCTCCTTTTCTTCTAAAGAGTTCCATTTACTATTATCAAATGGATTTATTCTACTTTTCTTCTATGAGGATTATTTCCTAAGGTTAAAATTTCTAATTTATCAACTAAGTCTTTGGGTAGTGTAGAAGTAGTATTATGCATTGCTTGATTAATTTCTATTATTTGGTATTCTAATTGATCTACTTTTTCAGCTAGATTTAAAATTAATTGGATAATTAAATTATTTTGTCTTATAGGGATATTAGTACTTACTACAGATGTTGTAAAGTCTGCAAGACCTACCGGTTCATTATCTAGTTGACCAACTTCTTCTAATGCTTTGATATATTTATTATTAATTTTAGAATACGTCATTAAACTAAAAGTCTATCTATTTTACTCTGTAGCTTTTCTACTTGTTTAGTTAATGTTTTTTGTACTAATTGTATTTTTTGCACTTCTAATTTTAATTGCTCAATAATTTCTAATGACTGGAGTTCTGTTTGTTTTATAGCTTATTGTCTATAAGATCTATGAGGTCTTTGATTTCTTTCTTACTAGGAAATCTTTGGATATTCCAATTATTATCTTGTAATTGGGATATTATATAGTCTAAGTGCCAGTTTGACATTGCTTATTTGGGGTGATAAGTGATTTTTTTTTAAAAAATTTGAAAAGCCCAACCCATTTAGTAAACTGTGAGAAAATCATTTATTGTTAAAAATTGCTGTAAGAGAAAGCTATAAGGGAAAGTAGCTAAAGAGATGCTTTCATTTTTTGATTATTCAAGAATCAGTTTCGAAGAGGCGTTGAGTTTAATGATTATGCGGCAATCCATTTTTGATTATGCGTAAAATCAATACCAACAACACTTTTAACAAAAAAGTGACCAAATGCCAAACTTCTTTCTCTCACAGCAAATCTGACAACGATTATTTTCACAGCACAACAATGTCAAACTGACCCTAAGTTTTGTCTAATTGTTTTTAAGGAATTTTTCTGTAAATATTCTAGTAACTGTTGAATTATCCTATTATTTTGTTACGATCAAATTTTACACTTTCTGCTTCACTAATTAAAAGGTCAATAATACTATTTTCTAAGGGATTATTACTGCTATGTAAAAGATGTTTGTGTTCTTTTTGAGGAAAATAACAAACTAATGTATTATTATCTAAAGTTAATTTTTTCTTTTGTCATTCACTGATTTCTAAATTAAGGTACTCTATAATATAATTAAAATTTATCTAAGTCTATCTTTTTCTTTTAAGATGCCTAAATGCTCTTGAAATGCTTCTATGGATTCTTTACAAACTTCTAAATGATACTGATTTCTTGTTATGCTATTCTGTACTTCTAATTTTCTTCTAGGATAATTATCTACTTCTGGTGATCTTATCAATTCTTCTAGATTTCTAATTTCTATTTGGTATTCTGCTTTCTGTTTCTTTAATTCTTGTAACCTTTCTTTTATTCTAATAGGTGTCCACCAAGGGCCAAACATGCAAAGGGTTTACTATTCTTAACTGGTAATTCTGGTAATTAACAAAATTTTAACAGATTATAAAACGTTGGTGTTTATCAGTTGTGTTGATTGACTTGTGTCCTCAAGGTACTTTACTGATATAATTATATTATTAAGGTGCTAAACTAAAGCTTTGATACCATTTTTGAAGCGAGGCCTCGGTCAAGGTTTCTAAAAGCCAAAATAACAACCAGACACCATGCCTAGAACATGGAACTACAAAAACGCCAACTTAAAGGGCTATGGAGTAGAACTCAAAGGTCCTCTGAACTCAGAGGTTCCTGACAGACATCCAATTATTGTTATGGCAAATATCAAAAATGACAAAGTGCTCAAACAAAGTATTGATTGTCAGTTTAGCAAGATAACAATATAATTATAAAAGTGTATCCCTGTTTTGGACAAGAAGTCTTCTAAGAAAACCAGAAATAAAAGAGAAAAAAGACTTACTTAATTGTTGTTGCTGGAATTGCTATGCACTGGATATTAATCTATTGTTGGTGGTATTTAACAATGCTTGAGTATATGGAGAATAAGAGAATGTATATGAACAAAGAGAGTTTTATTGGAAACTGAAGGAGGAAGTACTGAGACTTTTTCTTCTTTGGTGTACTTCTCTTCTTCGGAGCTGCAAGCTATATACATGAACCCTAATTTCTCTCATAATCTAATGGTAGTTCTTCTATAGTTTCTTAAAGCCCGTGCATCTCTCAAAGAAGCATTTGTCCTAAAAAATATATGGTTGTTGAAACTTTAAGGCATTTTAATATGGGTGCTGATTTTCCTACTCCCATTTTGTCCACTTACACTCTATTTTTTTAGTACTTTTTACTATAACATAAGAGAGTGTAAGTGGACCAAAAAAGAAAGGAGAAAATCAGTTCCCTTTAATAATCTTTATTTGACATGGTTGTTTTTGGCCATACCGAAATATATTTTTTTTTCGGTTACAACCAGTCAAACAAATCAAAGCCTGCATAAAAGAGCATTTGTACAAGATAAATTGTTTAACTTTGAAACGATTACCGCATAAATCGGGAATGCAACATAGAAGGAATATCAACTCGTTCTCCGGAGTTAAATGCAATATCCTTGTTTTGATAGAATTTACACATTGGACTTAACTTTCATTTCTCCTAATCCACTCGCTATAAAAATATGCAGCCACAACTATGGATTGGCTATCGTTGCTCTGAAATTTTATGACATACACATTGAGTCATCTTGAACACTCTCTTGTTTTAGGTTTTCAAGCGTGTCAATACATTTTTTCAACAAGGACTTCGCTTCACCGTTCTTCTCTACCTCGTACAGATGAACAAGCTCATCCTTAAATTGTACATCTATACAACGTATTGGTTGGAGCTTTTGGTACAACTTGATGATCACAAGAAGGGACTCTGAAGCAGTGACGTGAACCTGAATTTGTAAGCACACAAAATTCAAGATAAATTAACTAGTACCTGAAGGACAAGAATGTCTATAATCTAAGAAAATAAGTTCTCTTGCATTATTTATAAACTTGTGCTCAAAATTAGATATAACTCGGAGAACTTTTAGTTGCTAAAATAAGAGTTAATCAAAAAAAGTAGATGAGACAAAGTTGAAAGTGGATCGGTGGGATATAGAGAAGGTAGAGAAGAAAAGGAGAAAGCAAGGGGCTTGCAACTCAAGTGGTTAAAAGCATTTACCCATGCACCCAAGGTCTTAGATTCAATTTCTCGCTCCCCCAATATCTCTTGTATTAAACAAACAAAAGAAAAAAAAACAAGGAGAAACCAGAATAGCTGTTGACTTTCTATAATAGTACAGATGATATGAGCCCATGTATGCTAGAATTTTGTCTAAGGAAGAACAAGAACTAACGTATGTTAGAAATTTGCCTCAGGATGAACAAGAACTAAAATGGTGATGGGGAAGTGACAACTGTGAAAGGGACAATTGGGCTAATGTGCAGGTAGTTTGAATGAGTGTGCGTTAATTGTGATATAATAAGATCAGGTCAACAAACATATCTTCATTCAGTTTGAAATGAATTTTAACGATCTAGATGAAATTAAAATGAAATTATTGTTTTATTCACAAGTCATAACCTTTGTTGCTGAATTTGGACAGGGCACATGTAATGTTGCAAAATATCATTATCACCAAAATATTGTTTGGATCGTATATTGTGGAAAGGAAAGTAGATGCTACAAAGGGGATGTCGTTGATTAATTAAGGTTATTGTTGGTAACTTGTATTCATTAAACGTATGTATTATGATGATTTCTGTTAAAGGGATCATCAGGAACCATTTACATCTGGTTTCCTGATGCTTTATTTCAAAACCATGAACACGAATAAGATAAGGTAACCGAATGAACAATCAGTAGAACAGAAAATGGTGTGCACAGGATACCAAAGAAGGAAAAAGGCAACATACCTGGGCAACCTTAACTGTGCTTATGCATTCAACTATTTGAGGTGGCATTGAGAGAAACAACTGAACACAGGTAAAAAAACGTGTTACGCAAGTTTGATAAAAAATTATAATGATGAATAAACTTTGATTACCTCCTGAACTAAAGAAATTATGTTGGCATTTGCGGGAGATTCTTGAGAGTCATCCAGAACTTTCTGAAGCCTTGAACAAAGTTCCTTTGCTGATGAAAGTGCAGATATTTTGACTGCCATGAAAGTTCAATCAACAAGATACAAGATCTTAGAGAGTAGTACACAAACGAAAGGGGGAAAAGGGCCACAAGAGGGTACCTGTCCACGGAAGTCCAGATGACATGGTGGCAATTAACACATGCATTAAGTTCTTCTGTTGCCCAAGAATATCATTTATATGTGCCACGTGGATGCAGGCTGTCATGCAGTCCAAAACTTTGTTGTGCGGAACAGAAAACTTTTCAACTTGATCTTCTTCTGTGTAGAAACCGTTATTTTTTAGATTATATTCAGTATATTCTTCTCTGTTGATAAGAGGCGTTTAAATAGCTATACAACGATGTTCAAAAAAGGCAAGCAAGCAATTACACACCAGCAGCCCTAGTTAACTTCATATTTTTTAAAAGTGCACTACACATTTTAAGGCAATCGCACCAGCATTAAAGACATGATCATACTGTTAGCCTAAAAATAGATGGATCCAGCAGAATTTTCAAAATCTAAGTTAGGACAACACATAACTAAATCCAATCTCTCTACTTTCTACACTTCCTAGTAGAATAAGAGATTCCTAAATAGTACCTTAAGTCAGCCATAAACATGCCAAGTACCTACAACATCATGAGTCATGTCACCATACAACATAGTAACAGCAAGGCCATTATTACGATCTTTTGGCATACCACAACCAACAACATAGAAAACAATAAACACAAATATATAACTTCATAAAAATTGCCTTCTGGTCTGGTCCGCACTAAATATTCCAAAGAAATCACTTTATAACAAGGTTATGAGAGTTTACTGATGTTGATAAAGTGAGTTTCATTTTTATTCTCAGACACTAAGCATCCCATGTATATCAATAGGACACCAGTAGCAGTGGACCGATACCCAATACTTTATCTAACTTACTATAGAAATTAGAAATTAACTTCTTAGATATAGTAAGAAAAAGTGTTATCTACCAACCTGCTTTAGCAGCATCAACAACCAAAGTTGCTTTCCCAGACTGACTGAGAGTGCCAGAAGTGAACATCTCATATAATAACGGAAAAACCACATTAAAGAACTCTTGATTACCAAAGGCTTTTACAACCTGAAAACAAATTCATGCAGGAAAACTTGGTTACAAGACATGTGTCAAAATGAGACCATTATGATGGCAACTGAACAGAAGTACAAATAAAAGCAGATCATATTCCAGAAGCCTAAAAACAGTAAAAGAAGTAACATGAATCAAAGCATAGATTTCATGGTAATGCCAAGGACAATCAGTAAGAAGTACACTGTAGATTGACATTTGCACTCTGGTCATCTAGATTTCAATAAAGTAGTTTCTAACTTCTGAACCTAGAATCTGTACAATAAACTAGTTTGACAAGAATGTTGATGATCCATATATTTGAATGATTTGATTGATGGGAGGAAAATCAATCAGAATTTTAATGCATCAGCAACCCGGGCATCCTATTTCTTTCGAAAATTTAACCAAAAGAAAACTGTCTAAAATTCTTTGACAATGTAGCCTATATGGATTACAACACTTCATTCTTCCTCTAAAAATCTTTCCTGTCTCCCTCCTTGTCCTGAAAAATAATATTATTTATATTTACCCATCCAACAATCCAAAAATAGGCCAACCACATTATTAATCACAATACCCACGTAATCAACAACCATCAACAAATAAAAGCCGATAGAACCAGAACTTCTACTTTCTTAAGCATAACAAGAACATGCAATCGATAATAGGGTTACAGCAAGATCAATATACTTCCCAGAAAATAAAAACTTAAAAAGGAGCAATTTATGATGGAATGCTTACCTGTTCAAGACAAGAGAGAGCTGCTTCACGGTATTTCTTTGCTTTTTTTGTGCATGCAGAAGATACTACGCTCAAAATTTCATTCATAGTGGCAGGATCATCACTTGAAATTGCTTTATTGCAAGACACAGAAAGAGCAGCTATTGCATATAATAGAGCATCCTTCCCTGTCACATTAAATAAAATGGAATTTATTCAGATGATCTACACTTTGCTTATTTAATTTTTATCTATCTGTTTACTAAAGATCACAAATAAAATTCTTACCTCCCATAACCGACCAGGATCTCTTTCATAAGAGATTGGAGCAAGACATGATAGTGAGAAGACAGGGATTCACCTAAAACCTCACTGAGCTTGGAGATTGCCTGGGCTGACTGTAAGTTGAGAATTGACACACTAAGAATAATCTCAAGAATATGACCTCCAACAATGACTAAAGTGTAAATTGAAAAAAGATAGCACATACCTTCTTTTACTTGCCCACGATGATGATCCAATGCCTTCACAAATCAACGAAACAATTTCTTCCAAGTACAACTGGAGGGCTACCCTTTCACTACTTGTATGCTCTTCCCACAACTCTTCAAACAGGCCAGAAACAAACTTGTCATCCTCGAATCTGCATATGAACCATTAGATTCCTAAGGATACAAGTTCATTTAAATACATATCTTTTATGTGGTTTAATGATGATGGTCATCAGACTTTTATTCAATGGGGATATCACTAGTGAGAAATTCTCAATACAAAACTCTCACCTAAAGTTAAGTGATGACAAAGTTAGATACTTTAAGCCGACTCCTTGATTTGGACTTCCCAGGATAATGGTTTTAAGAAAGATGAGTAACATAGAGCAAATTACAAGGTGTAGAGTTTCATTAATTTTTAATTCATTGTTTGATCAAATCTTTGTTATGTAAATTTCACTGTTGCTAATAGTTTATGCGGACGAAACTGAATATATTCAACACTTTGGGGTAATCCTATACTGTAATTGAACAGGTTTCTTTATCTTAACATTTTATAGCATGTTTCCTTATCAGGAATCAGTATGGGATTATTCCAATCTTTATTTTAACTGTGTTTACGAACACATAAGGAATCAAAAATTATGTGGGTTCCATGTTAAAATTCATAATCAAATACCATCACAATCAATAATTGGATCAGCTAGGGTGGAGTAGTTGATCCAATTCCAATTCCAATTCCTTGATTCCCTATCTAAGTTCCTTGATTCATGGCTTCCCCCATTCCTAATAAGTAACATATCCTCAATGAAATAGCAGCCCAGCCTTCATCTCTGGGTAGTAAACTCACAATTGTTTAAAACTATACATGCAACCGTTAAAATGATAACAGGCTCTGAAAAATGTTTCTTTAATGAAAAGGAAAACAGAAAAGGAGCCAAGCGTATGATTCAGACCTTGAGATAAAAATAACTGGAATAATTGCTGCAAGATATCCACTCACAACATCTGAGGCCATGGATGAATAGCTTTTTAATAAAATTGCACATGAAACTTGAGCATTTTTATCGCCATTATGCAAAGCTGCACTGTCGTCGATCAACATTTCAGCCTGCGTAGGTGCTGCATGCTTTAAAACAATTGCACAAGCACTGGCGAAGGCACGTTTTGATGCAGCACTTTTTTCGTCCTTGACAACCGGAAACAATAGCCTCAGTAGCCTGCTTGTATATGGTTTGATTTCAACACCAACTTTTGAACTAGTAATGTAATAAAGCTGGCAATACCAACCCTGTGACAGAAATATAAAGGCCATACAGAGAATTAGTAACAGTTATATAATTTCCAAAAAGTTCTTAGGAATCTCGAGGACACCAAGCAAGATTCTCAGTTTATCATTCTTGCCATCAAAGATAATGTATATTTGTAATACTACTTCTTTTTTGTTTTTTTTATTTTTATTTTTATTTTTAATCACATAGTACAAAGTCATACATATTCTTAGGTGTAGACTGCAAGGAGATAAAAAAGCATAAGGGGAACTCTGTATAACATTTCATTTCATTTCTCATTGTTAAAATATAAGGTAACTGTAGGCACATACCTTAACGACTTAATATTTTGGGAGTAAACCAATATAGGGTTTAGGGTGGTAAGAAATGTAAATTTGCTACTTTAGAATTAGATGCAATGTTGCAAGTAATGAATAATCTAATCTTTACAAAGAAAACTATGCCTAACTGTCATTCCTAATCATTATCCTTAATTTATTGTATTACATAAAACAAAACCAAACCTTGTATTGAGGCCAACTCCAGATCGAACCAACTGAGCAGACGAGGAACCAATTGATCTAATGCTTCTGAATCCACAACTTTTATGCATAGATCAAGAGTTTCCCACATGGGAGAGCCTTTTGCAATTGAAATTCTCAAGTTTTCAAGCTTCTCTGTCTGTATTCCAACATTTGCTGCATGCAACTGGGAACAGGAAAGTAAAATTAGCAAGGCGTTGGAAGAAAGTGTGAGCTAAATACTAAACACGAGCTGGACATAAAATCTCGACAAACCTCAACATAGTTAAGCCCTTGGTCCTCAAGGCTTGATAAACTTTCCAGCATGCAGCAAACTAAATCAGATAATGTGGGACGGATTGCAATCCCTGCACCCTATAAATAAGGTGAAAACAAAAAAGTCACAAATTTCAAACCACTCACGAGAAAACACGTCAATATCAATGGATGTTTTAATTTAGCAAAAGATGACAACTTTAGGTCTGTTCTGGAAATTTTAAAGTATCCAGAGAAACTTCATGGCCATGTTGTGCTAACATGAATATGTATAATGTTTTGTGCAAATGACTACGTATTATTGGATGAACTAAAGCACAATGGTAATGGGTAGTATTCTTTATTGGGTACATAGTTATTCTTCACCTATAAAAACATAAACACAATGCTAACCTTTGCAAGCTTCATAACAATTCCAATAGATGCTTTCCGGATACTGTCAACTTTACTTAGTATTCCTTCTGTAAGCAAAAATGGCAGAACAATATCCATTGTTTGGCGTGCCTCTGATACACCAGTTAGGGAGACATCAGAAAGCCTCACTGTCAATGAAGTTAAAGCACGACATAACTTATCCCCAGAGTTTCGAACAGTCTCTTTTATGTCATCCATGGCACGGAATGCTGCTGACCATAATTTCCTTAAATGCTTTGCAACCTTAAGAGTACCAGAATTTAGAAAGAAAAAATAAGCGTAAAGAAAAAGAAAAGATAGAAGATTTTACCAAATAACAACAGATAACAGCACGAGAATGTTGGATTACACGGAAAATCTCAGCAAGCTTACTGATCTTAGAATAAAGTAACAATGACACAGCAGAGATGGAAAGAAGCTACTACCCAGGGTTTGACCGAAGGGGGGAAAACCAAAATATGGCTACGTATACTAGAGCAGGACAGAAGCAGGGCATGTTCCAGGGGAGTGTATGAACAAAACACATACAGACATGAGAATTTTCAACGTAATACTTTTTTTTTCATTTTTCTGTTTTTTTTTTTTTTTCTGATGAAAAAGAAATTATTTTCATCAGGACTGTACCGCAAGTAATATTTTTTTTGTACCCCATCAGCATAAAGAAAACAAAATTAATGCCAAACCAAGGCAAGGAAATGGTGCAAAGGCAAGGAGGGGAATTTAAAGAAATATTTATCTACTTCTATATCTACTACTATCTACTATGATGAACGATCCCTCTGCTCTGGAATGTTTCCAGAACAGGCCAACATTGAGGGATCAAATAGCAGTGGGTTAATGAGGTGGGTGTTGGAATGGGTGATTAGAGGGGCAATGGAGGGGTGACTTGCATACCTACGTTGCACGAGATATTCTCGAGATGAATCTATATCTAAAAATTTCAAATGCCCCTAGTTTTATTCCTGAGAAATTGAAGCATCTTACCTAACACTGCAGAGTTTCAATGGCCAACACAAAAACTGAGATCTATTACCGCTTTCTCACCTGATCAACTTCGCCCCGGGATAATTCTGCAAGGGGCAAGACAGGATGACTCACGGGAGCGCCAAAGCCGGGATCCACATTGTATTAACAAATCATCAACAATAAGGTCCAAGTTTCATCAATGGTTTTCTTTGAATCTGCCACAGTGACTTCCATATGTGTGCCATAGCATCCTAAGTACATAACAGGAAAGCAATAATGAGAAAGTTAATGCAAAGATGAACTTATTGAAAAGATGGAAATTTTCAGAACTTCCGACATTACCAATTGAAATAGGAAAAGGAAAAAAACATTTGACAGAGAAGAAGTAGCAGACATGACACAGTAGTTACAAATTTATAAATGTTTAAGAATGTGTTGCTTTCTTACTTTATGTAGGAAAGTAAATGATGAATACCTGCACATTTTTATCAGGATCGTATTGGTACCGCACAAGCCTTGGAATCAATGAACGTAGGTGTGGTTTTCGAGCATCTCCTGCTTGCTTTGCTATCTTTGAAAATCCAAAGGCAGCACCCCTCTTGGAATTTAAAGAAGCTTGATAATTAGCCAGATCCAAAACTTATAAATTAGATCTGGCTGTCCCATCTCATTCGCTACGTTGCAAAGCTCCTTATACGTGCTGAGTTTCCCTCCACTAAGACCTTCACCATAACTCCCTCTTGAAACACTTCAGAGTCTTCAACAAGCTAAATACAAAAATAGAAGAACCTAAGAATTTAAGAAATGCACAGAGAGAGAGAGAGAGAGAGAGCAAGGCAGACAGACAGACAGACACACAGACACACAGACACACTGAGAGAGACAGAACCTCACCTTGATAGCTCTTTTCCTCTTCCCTGAACCAGTTAGAGAGTAACAAGTGCATGCACCAAGTTTTCCTTCATTGAGGCATCACCAAGTTCATACACAATGCTCATCCCTTGCGAGGCCAGCTCCTGTGTAAGTTCATTTTGTTCACCGAGAGATGTGAAAAGCCTCCTGCATGCATATGGAAATTTATAATCTAATACTCCAATTTATAACATCCATCACTCGAAATTAAGCATTCAAAGAGGAATCCGTTCTCTATAAATTTCAATGATAACCACACAACTTCCAAGGTGCCAAAATATAATGCACTGAGATCTCATTAACCACTGCGCATCTATTTGCAAACATGGTGACAATAAAAAATGAACCCAATACAAAGGGAACTCAAGAAATACGAGTGGAAAATTTTACAAGTGAACCAACGACAAACCTGAATGTCTGGAAGCATTTCTGAATAGCAGGGTTTATGGCCACAATACATTGTAATTGATAAACCAAACAGTTCCAGCACAACGTTCTTCTTTTCTTGTGCTGTATAGAAGATCATCAAAGAGCTTTTTAGTAATTGCATCTCTAACCATAGCATACGATCTTCCTCGGCTTCATTTGTTTCAATATGGCTATTGTTTGATAGAGATAAGTTCACATCTCCCATAAGAAAGTTTGAAGCCATGGAAAGTGAATAATTAGCTTTGAGAATCAAATCAGCAGTCACTGGAACACCACCCCACAGAAATGATAGAGCTCGCCAGCAGCAAAGAGGACATCCTCAAACCTGTATAAATCAGAGTTGCAAGAATTAGAGATTTTCCCATACCCTTGATTTATTTTGGTCCAACACAAGAGTGTACGATGCGGGTACATGCAAATAGTTGATAAGAAAATAGTTTCACGCAAACCTTGGACCGGCAAAGACTGAAACTCAAGTCGAGGCAATATTTAGACGCAAAGATGAAGTTTCCTTTTACACACATATGGCCAATGGATATAACAATTTTTGTGAATTGCTTTAGTATAATCACCACTGAGTAGCTTTCTCAATTTCTCATGTAGAACCGTCAGAAATATCAACTGCGTTAACGAGTTAGTAAAAATCTCAACCCAAGGTGCAGAGAAATGATAAGTTGGTTAAGGCAGTGCATGAAATGTGCAAAAACAAATCGAGTTACCTGAATTCGAAATCAATAATAAGTGAAGGCAATGGAACAATCAGCCCAATATGACCTAAGGCTTGGAGTGCCACTGAGGCTAGTGCTGCAGTCTCACTATTAGCAACATCAACAAGGCACTTTAGTGTACTTTGAAAGAGAGTGTCTGGGATCTACAGACATATTGAATGTTCCAACAAAATGACATAAGTAAATGTGAGCAAAGAAAATGAATCAAATAAGACACTAGTAAATGCGAAGAAAGCCAACTGAAATAAAAAATAATCAATTCAAGTTTATTTTATAGACAATATGAAACAGGAAAGAAAATTTTTAGTGACCATTAACTTTCAATGAAGCAAGGTCACCAAGATAAAGAAATAGACCCAAGATTATTTGGTAAGACGTCTGCAACATCAGAGGGAAACCATTTTTTCACAGAAACAATAATTTTGTTCAACACCACCCGTCTAAAAACAACAAAACAGAAAGAAAAACGAAAAAAAGAACACCAAGGAAAAAATTATGCAACAGAACCCGATAAGAAAAAATTGCATGAAAAAGACAATCCAAAATATGAGGATACTGAAACTGATCCACATCAGAGACAAAACTAAACAAAGCAAACAATAAATATGGAGAACATTCATGCTAAATTTCAAGTGAATGGTTTATTGCGGAACTTAGATCAACTAATTACAGTCAAGGAGATGAATGTCATCAAACCCTAAAATATTATTGGGGAAAGAATTGTACGGATGAATGGAAAAAGGAATATTATGTTTGAAGTGCGGGATCTTTCTATATACTTTTTGTAGAATAAGGGGCGACGACTTTTTAAATGAAAGCCACATATACCCAAACAATTCAATATATAATGAGACAGGAAGTAGGAACTTATACAACTTACAGCGGTGTTCGTGACTACAATCCGCAGTACATATCTACGGCACATAATGCTCCATGTGAGCCTCCAACTGAAGAATATTTCAACCAACCCTAGAATGAGAGGTATATACCATCACAAAGAAACAGTATAATTGAAAGACAATTTTGTTGACCCTTCATGTGCAAGATATATGACTCCAACCTTAGCTTATGCCTTCCACTAACTGAGGCAATTAGCTCAGAGTAAGAGCAGATGATTCAGCCGTAGCAAGCAGAGCAGAAGAAGCAACCCAAGTAAACGTGCTGCAGCTTCACGGGTATCCAAGTCAACATGACCAGTAATTGCTTTAGCCTGAAACCTTTGTGCATAGCGTGAAGCTATCAGCTATAAAGAAGTAGATTTGTCAGATATGCAAAAACATGAAGCGAAAGAGCACACTAGTAAATAAGAAGAAAATTTTCAGCACAACCTCGGGCATACAAGATCCAATTGCAATTAAAGCCTTGGAAGCCTGGCATGCAACTCAACAGACCTTCAAAGGCCATAGCATGTTCTAGAAGTAAACACAGTGCTTCTACTGAAGACTGAAATCAGATAATCCTTTAATAGAAATGCTTTGCTCAATTCTGACTCAAAGCACTTCAACAGAAATTCAATCATAACTATCTCGTTTTTGAGGGAAAAGAAGGTTTCTGCTCCCTCCATCTCAGCTGAGTCTAACATTTGGCCTGCTTGCCTAAAGCAAAATTCGCACTACTCCAAGTGTTTGGGATAAACCCGACCTGCATCTGCCTCGCACTTTGCCATCCTCTTTACAGGTAAAAGGCCTTCCAGTGCAGCCCTTCAAAAGGAACAAACAAGGTGCAATGGAAAATTTGTGCATAAAAAAATTACACAAATACAAGACACAAAAGAGTCCAATCTGTTTTTTTTTTTCCGAGAAAACACAATTTTAGAACAGAAAGAAGAAAGTACAAACAGATTAATAACAAGGTTCACCCAACAAACAAGTACATGGATTACAGACAACGCCAAAAAGACCTCAACAAAGAATTCTCTATATTATGCTGCCTCCATTCTAGCACAATAGAGGAGAGTGTACACCCTGAAATCTACAAACAAAAGCCCCAGTAGACATAACCTCTGCACTTCTATCCATCCCCTTATTATTCTCATGTTATTCACCATGCAGTCAACAATCCATTCACACTAAAACGCGCAGTTCACTGAATGGCAGTTACTCCATGAAAAATAAGTCAAGACCTTTTTGTTCACAAGCGCTGGAGAGCTTGGAAAGGAAGGCGGGGAAGGCAAGGCATTACAGAAAAATACCTGGCTTTGCAGTCTATTATCACACGACTTTTCCCTAAAATAAATTGTGTAGGTTGGCTGCAATTGGAAAAATGCAGAATAGTCCAGACCTCTATTGTGTGTTGAGAGCTGTGTTCCTTGGGGGGGGAGATGTTGATACACAAGTGATTTCTTTGTGTTGATTGATGTCTATCTAACTCAACTGTGGTCCTTTAACGCTTATATTTCTCATACCCAATTTGGTGGATTGTCCCAGGTCATGGATTGTGACTCCACCTGTTATGTACTGGAAGATATGGAGCTTCTAGTGGCTAATCCTATAATGGGTCTTGTGCCATTCTGTTAGCACGCTCCTTTGTAACAGAGAATAGAGGCCCTTGTAACATTTAGTTTTTGTTGCTTTTAAGTTAGAGGATAATGATGAGGAGGAGGGAGGGAGGGAGGGCAGCAAAGAAAAGTGGGAAAACCATTAATCCAATACCTAATGGGTGTCCTCTGTTTTTTCTTCACCTTTGTTGGGGGGTTTTGAAGGTCGATAATTTGGGTTTATGGTTTATGGCATTGCAACACAATTTGGATCCTGTCAGAGATTAAGATTGTTGCCCCCTGACCAGAACAGCAAGGTAGTCAAATCGGGAAGGCTCTGGGTTATGCAAGTGTTGAGTCTCACATCACTTGTTACTTGGACTCTTCCTTATAACTAGCCCTTTTGGGAGAGTGTTGGCTGTAGAGTGTGTTCCCCAGGCCAATACCTTCCTTGTCATACAGAATGAACCAAAATGTCTAACGGGCACAGGCAGGAATTTTGCTGCACATAGCCCCATTTTTCTTTGTCCATGTATTTTTGCTCCATTGTGTAGTGTTGCTGATATTATTTTTTCTTTTGATCGCTCATTCCATCAATTATCCTAACGCACCCATTATGGGATATATACTCACAATATAAGGTTTACCAAACATAAAACTCACACCAGACAAGGCCACAAACGTACCAGGAAAAAACCAGCCACCCAAGCAGATAAAAGAAGTAAAACCATAAAAAAATTGCCAATTTCCACAGGTGTTATACAATTTTATCCAACCTTTATTAAAGGCTGTAACACCTCTATGCGACTCCACTCGTTGACATGTAAACCCAATTACACTGGTAAACCACATGTACTAACCTATAACCACCTCTTTGGATCCCGCCATTACATATCATCGATATTACACTGAGGACCAAATGCCAACAAAGAAACTTGCCCAAGATTTTTTTCTTCAAAGGGCTTGCTTGAAAGGGAAAGTTATTTATTGTTGATAACTAAATAAAACCTTTGAACCAAGCCTCATATAACTTGTTAAGTGACATTGAAACAAAGGCTCAACTCGTAGCACACTAGAGCTGAGCCGATAACAAGCGCACAATACACTCCTTTGTGTAGTTGTGCAACATAAACAAAAAGGATGTTTCGGGAACCATTTGCCTATTTGGTTAGGCCATGGTATTAGCCATAAGAAACCTAATATCATAATTTTTTACAGCATCTATGGGCAAAAGAAAGAGATTTTTTTTTTTTTTTTTTTTTTTTTTTTTTTTTTTTTTTTTTTTTTTTTTTTTTTTTTTTTTTTTTTTTTTTTTTTTTTTTTTTTTTTTTTTTTTTTTTTTTTTTTTTTTTTTTTTTTTTTTTTTTTTTTTTTTTTTTTTTTTTTTTTTTTTTTTTTTTTTTTTTTTTTTTTTTTTTTTTTTTTTTTTTTTTTTTTTTTTTTTTTTTTTTTTTTTTTTTTTTTTTTTTTTTTTTTTTTTTTTTTTTTTTTTTTTTTTTTTTTTTTTTTTTTTTTTTTTTTTTTTTTTTTTTTTTTTTTTTTTTTTTTTTTTTTTTTTTTTTTTTTTTTTTTTTTTTTTTTTTTTTTTTTTTTTTTTTTTTTTTTTTTTTTTTTTTTTTTTTTTTTTTTGTGGTTGAAAAGGTATATTAAATTCCAAAAAGTCTTAGGAATCCGAGGACACCAAGCAAGATTCGCAGGTTTAACATTCTTGCCATAAAGATAAGGTATATTAATATATGTCTTTTTTGTTTTTTTATTTTTATTTTATTTTTAATTCATAGTACAAAGTCATACATATTCTTCGGGGTAGACTTGCAGGAGAGAAAAAGCATAAGGGGAATCTGTAAAATTTCATTTCATTCATTGTAAAATAAAGTTAACTGAGGCATACCTTAACGGACTATATATTTGGAGTAAACCGATATAGGGTTTTTTGGGTAGGGTAAGCAATGTAAAATTTGGCTACTTTAGACTTAGATGCAATGTTGAAAGTAATGAATATCTAACTTGACCAAAGAAAATAGGCCCGTAACTGTCTTTCCTAATCATTATTCCTTAATTAGTGTATTACATAAAAACAAAACCACACCGTGTATTGAGGCCACTCCAGATCGAACCATGAGCACGCCGAGGAACCAATTGATTAATGCTTCTGCATACCAACGTTATGCCTAGCTCAGAGTCTCCCACATGGGAGAGCCTTTTGCAATTGAAATTCTCCAGTTTTCAAAGCTTCTCGTCTGTTTCTCCAAATGCTGCCCTGCAACGGGAAAGGAACGTAAAATTAGCAAAGGCGTTGGGAAGAAAGTGTGAGTAATAAACACGTGGGGACATAAATCTCGACAAACCCCAACATAGGTAAGCCTTGGTCCTCCAAGGCTTGAAAACTTTCCAGAATGCAGCCAACTAAATCAGATAAAATGGGGAGGATTGCGATCCTTGCACCTATAAATAAGGTGAAAAACAAAAAAGTCACAAATTGTTCAACCACTCCGAGAAAACACGTCAAGAAAGGGAGGTTTTTTGTAGCCAAAAGATGAAACTTAAGGTCTGTTCTGGAAATTTTAAAAGTATCCAGAGAAACTTCATGGCCAATGTTGTGCTAACAGTGAATATGTATAATGTTTTGTGCAAGACTACGTATTATTGGATGAACTAAAGCCCAATGGAAGGGTAGTATTCCCGTTGATTGGGTAATGTTATTTCTGCCCTATAAAAAACATAAACAACATATGCTAACGTTGCAAGCTTCATAACAATCCATAGATCTTTCCGGATACTGTAACTTTACTTAGGATTTCCTTCTGTAAGCAAAAATGGCAGAACACATATCCATTGTTTGGCGTGCCTCTGAACACCAGTTAGGGAGGACATCAGAAAGGCCTCATGTCAATGAAGGTTAAAGCACGACATAACTTATCCCCAGAGTTTTCGAACAGTCTCTTTTATGTCATCCATGGCACGGAATGCTGCGACCATAATTTCCTTAATGCTTTGCACCTTAAGGTACCAGAATTTAGAAAGAAAAAAATAAGCGTAAAGAAAAAGAACAAGATAGAAGATTTTACCAAATAAACAAACAGATAACAGCACGAGAATGTTGGATTACACGGAAAAATCTCAGCAAGCTTACTGATCTTAGAATAAAGTAACAATGACACAGCAGAGATGGAAAGAAGAAGCTATACCCAGGGTTTGACCGAAGGGGGGGACAAGGAACAACCAATATGGCTACAGTATATTTAGAGCCGGACAGAAGCGGGGCCAGGTTCCAGGGGAGTGTAGAACAAAACCACATTACAGAATGAGGGGAATTTACAAAACGTAATTCACTTTTCTGAAAATGTACAACTACGAATTTTTATTTCATCAGGATGTACGCAAGTAATCCACCAAAAAGCATAGAAAACAACATTTAATGCTCAAAACCAAGGCAAGGGAAATATGATATCTATTTATCTAATAATCTATCGGACGATACCCCTCTGCGCTAAGTTCCAGAACAGGACCATCTGAGGGGATCACCATACCAGTGGTGGAAGGATGGGTGTGGGAAATGCGGTGTAGAGCAAAGCGGACTTGCATACCTTTGCACGAGAAATATCAGATGACTGCTATATCTAAAAAATTTCAAATGCACCCTCAGGTTTTATTCCTGAGAAATTTGAAGCATCTTACAAACTACACACTTCAGAGTTTCAAAGCGCCAACCACAAAAAACATGAGACTATTACAAGCTTCTCACAAAACTTTCGCCCCTGGATAAATCTGTCAAGGGGCAAGACAGGATGACTCACGGGAGCGCCAAAGCGGGTACCAAATGTATTAAAAAAATCATCAACAAAAAGGACCAAGTTCATCAATGGTTTTATTTGAATCTGCCTAATGACTTCCATATGTGTGCCATAGCATCCTACGTACAACAGGAAAGCATAATGAGAACGTTAATGCAAAAGAACTTAATTGAAAAGATGGAATGTTTCAGAACCTTCCGGACATTACCAATTGAAATAGGAAAAGGAAAAAACATTTGACAGAGAAGAAGTAGCAGACAGGGGACCACCAGTAGTTACACAAATGTATAAATGTTAAGATGTGTGCTCTTACTTTTAGTAGGAAAGTAAATGAATGAATACCTTGCATTTTTATCAGGATCGTATTGGTAACGCAACAAGCCTTGGAATCAATGAAGTAGGTGGGTTTCGAGCACTCCTGCTTGCTTGCATCTTTGAAAATCCAAAGGGCAGCCCCCTCGTGGAATTTAAAAGAAGCTTGATAATTAAGGCCAGATCCATAACTATAAACTAATCTGCGTCCTCTCATTCGCTACGTTCGAAACTCCTTATACGTGCGAGTTTCCCTCCGCCTAAGACCTCCCCATAACTCCCTCTTTGAACCACTTCAGAGCTTCACAAGCTAAATACAAAAAAAGAAGAACTAAGAATTTTAAAGGAAATGCACAGAGAGAGAGAGAGAGAGAGAGAGCAGGCAGACAGACAGACGACACCACAGACACACAGACCCACTGAGAGAGGGACAGAACCTACCTTGAAGCTCTTTTCCTCTTCCGAACCAGTTGAGGAGGGGAACAAGTGCCAACTGCACAAGTTTTCCTTCATTGAGGAATCCAAGTTCATACACAATGCTCATCCCTTGCGAGGCCAGCTACGTGTAAGGTCATTTTGTTCACGAGAGATGTGAAAAAGAATCGGCATGCATATGAATGTATAATCTAATACTACAATTTATAACATCCATCACTCGAAATTAAGCATCAAAGAGGAAGCCGTGCTCTATAAATTTCAATGATAAACCACAATTCCAAGGGTGCCAAATCTAAGCTGAGATTCTCCTTAAACACGGCACTATTGGCAAACAATGGGCATAAAAAAAATGAACCCAAAACAAAGGGAACTCAAGAACTCGAGTGGGAAAATTTTACAAGTTACCAACGACAAACGGAATGTCTGGAAGCATTTTTGAATAGCAGGGTATATGGCCACAATACATGTAATGATAAATAACCAAAAAGTTCAGCACAACGTTCTTCTTTTCTGCTGTATAGAAGATCATCAAAGAGCTTTTTAGTAATTGCATCTCTAACCATAGCATAACGATCTTCTCGGCTTCATTTGTTTCAAATGGCTATTGTTGATAGAGATAAGTTCACATCTCCCATAAAGAAAGTTTGAAGCCATGGAAAGTGAATAATTAGCCTTTGAGAATCAAATCAGCAGTCTGGGACACCACCCCACAGAAAATGATAGAGCCTCGCCAGCAGCAAAGAGGACATCCTCAACCTGATAAATCAGAGTTGCAAGAATTAGAGATTTTCCCTACCCTTGATTTATTTTGGTCAACACAAGAGTGTACGATGCGGGGTACATGCAAATTTTGATAAAGAAAATGTTTCACGCAAACCTTGGACGGCAAAGATGAAACTCAAGTCGAGGGCAATATTTAGACGCAAAGATGAAGTTTCCTTTTACACACATATGGCCAAGGGATATAACAATTTTTTGAATTGCTTTAGTATAATCACCACTGAGTAGCTTTCTCAATTTCTCATGTAGAACCGTCAGAATATCAACTGCAGTTAACGATTCGGTTAGTAAAAATCTCAACCCAAGGTGCAGAGAAATGATAAGTTGGTTAGGCAGTGCATGAAATGTGCAAAAAACAATCGAGTTACCTGAATTCGAATCAATAATAAGTGAAGGCAATGGAACAATCAGCCCAATATGACCTAAGGCTTGGATTGCCACTGAGGCTAGTGCGCAGTCTCACTATTAGCAACATCAACAAGGCACTTTAGTGTACTTTGAAAGAGAGTGTCTGGGATCTACAGAAATATGAATGTTCAACAAAATGACATAAGTAAATTGTGAGCAAAGAAAATGAATCAAAATAAGACACTAGTAAATGCGAAGAAAGCCAACTGAAATAAAACATAATCAATTCAAGTTTATTATTTATAGACAAATATGAACAGGGAAAGAAAATTTTTAGTGACCATTAACTTTCAATTGAAGCAGGTCACCAAGATAAAGAATAGCCAAGATTATTTGGTAGACGTCTGCAACATCAGAGGGGAACCATTTCTTTCACAGGAAACAATAATTTTGTTCAACACCACCCGTCTAAAACAACAAAAACAGAAAGAAAACAGAAAAAGAACACCAAGGAAAAAATTAATGCAACAGAACCCCGATAAGAAAAAATTGCATGAAAAAGACCAATCCTCAAAATATGAGGATACTGAAACTGATCCACATCAGAGACAAAACTAAACAAAGCAAACAATAAATATTGGAGAACATTCATGCTAAATTTCAAGTGAATGGTTTATTGCTGAACTTAGATCAACTAATTACAGTCAAGGAGATGAATGTCATCAAACCCTAAAAATATTATTGGGGAAAGAATTAGTACGGATGAATGGAATAAAGGAATATTTATGTTTGAAGTGCGGGATTTCTATATTACTTTTTGTAGAATAAGGGGCGACAGACTTTTTAAATGAAAGCCCACATATTACCCAAACAATTCAAATATATGAATGAGACAGAAAATAGAACTTATACAACTTACAGCAGGTGTTCGTGACATACAATCCGCAGTTACATATCATACTGCACATAATGCTCCATGTGAGCCTCAAACCTGAAGAATATTTCAACCAACCCTAGAATGAGAGGTTTCTAACCATCACAAAGAAAACAGTATAATTGAAAGACAATTTTGTTGAACCCTTCAGTGTGCAAGATATATGCTACAAACCTTAGCTTATGCCTTCCACTAACTGAGGCAATTAGCTCAGAGATAAGAGCAGATGATTCAGCCGTAGCAAGAGCAGAAGAAGCAAACCCAAGTAAACGTGGTGCTGCAGCTTCACGGGTATCCAAGTCAACATGACCAGTAATTGCTTTAGCCATGAAACCTTTTGTGCATAGCGTGAAGCTATCAGCTATAAAGAAGTAAGATTTGTCAGATATGCAAAAAACATGAGGCGAAAGAGCACACTAGTAAATAAGAAGAAAATTTTCAGCACAACTCGGGCATACAAGATCCAATTGCAATTAAAGCCTTGGAAGCCTGGCATGCAACTCAACAGACCCTTCAAAGGCCATAGCATGTTCTAGAAGTAAACACAGGCTTCTACTGAAGACTGAAAATCAGATAATCCTTTAATAGAAATGCTTTGCTCCAATTCTGGACTCAAAGCACTTCAACAGAAATTCAATCAGAATAGATACGTTTTTGAAGGAAAATGAAGTTTCTGCTCCCTCATCTCAGCTGATTCTAACAAGTTTGGCTGCTGCCTAAGAATAAAATCTAGCATGACTCCAAGTTTTGGATAAACCAGATCCTGCATGACTCAGACTTTGCCCATCATCTTTAACAAGTAAAAGGCCTTCAAGTGCTATCTCCCTTCAAAAAAGGACACAAACAAGGTGCAATGTAAAATTGGTCAATAAAAAACTACACAAATACGAAGACACAATAGAGTCCTAATCTTTTCCTTTTTCTGAGAAGAAACAAATTTTAAACAGAAAGAAAAGTACAAAGATAGAACAAGGAGTCCACCCACAACCAGAGTACATTGATTACAAGACAAAAGACAAAGACTACAACAAAGGAATTATATATATGCTGCCTTCCATTCTAAGCAAAATAGAGGAGAGTGTACATCCCTGAAATCGGACAAAACAAAAGCCCAAAGGGTAGACAGAAAACCTCAGCAACTTTATCCCCATCCCTTATTATCTCAGTGTTATTCACCATGAAGTCAACCAATTCAATTCACAGCTTAAAACTGAGCAGTTCAATGGACATGGCGTTTAACTCCATGAAAAATAAAAAGTAAAGACCATTTTTGTTCAACAAAAGCTCTGGGTAGAGCTTGGAAAGGAAAGGCGGGGAAGGGCCAAAGTATAAAAGAAGAAAGACCTGGAGTTGCAAGTCTATTAGCAGCACGACTTTCTCCTAATAAATTGTGTAGTTGGCTGCATTGGAAAAATGCAGGAAATAGTCCAGACCTCTATTGTGATTTGTGAGAGTGTGTTCCTTGAGATGTTGATACACAAGGGATTTCTTTGTGTGGATTGATGTCTATCTAACTCAACTGTGTTTGTAACGATTATATTTCTCATACCCCAAGTTTGTGTGGATTGTCCAGGCATGGATTGTGACTCCACATGTTATGTACTGGGAGATATGGGAGCTTCAATAGTGGCTAATCCTATATGGGTATGTGCCATTCTGTTAGCACGCTCCTAGTTGTAACATATAATAAGGGCCCATTGTAACACTTTAGTTTTTGGCTTTTAGGCTTAGAGGATAAATGTATGAGGGAGGGAGGGAGGGAGGGGAGGGCAGCAAAGGAAAGTGGGAAAACCATTAATAAAAATACCTAATGGGTGTCCTCTGTTTGTTTCTTCACCTTTGTTGGGGGGTTTGAAGGTCTGAGAATTTTGGGTTATGGTTTTAGGGCATTGCAACACAAGTTTGGATCCTGTCAGAGATTAGATTGTGCCCCCTGACAAGAACAGCAGGGATTCAAATCGGGAAGTCTCTGGGGTTAGCGAGAGTGTGAGTCTCACATCACTTGTATACTTGGACTCTATTATAATAGCCCTTTTTGGTAGTAGTGTTGGTGTATGAGTGGTGGGCCCACATGGCCATACCTTCCTTGGTCATGACAGTGAGAACAAAAATGTCTAACGGGCAAGGCAGGAATTTTGGAAACATAGCCCCATTTTTCTTTGTCCCATTATTTTGCTCCATGTGTGTAGGTTGGATGATATGATTTTCTCTTTTGAATCTCTCATCCAATCAATGTATCCTAACGCACACCAGTATGGGGGATAGATAATATCACAAGATAGAGGTTTACCAAACCAATAAAACTCACCAGAAGAAAAGGCCAACAAAACGATACCAGGAAAAAAACCAGCCACCCAAGCAGATAAAAGAAATAAAAACCATAAAAAAATTGCCAATTTCACAGGGGATACAAGATTTATCCAACCTTTAAAATTAAAGGCTTTAACCACCTCTATAGAATCCCACTCGTTGACATGTAAACCATAATTACACTGGTAAACCACATTATCTAACCTATAACACCTCTTTGGAGTCCCGTCCTAAACATATAATCGGATATTACACTGAAGGACCAAATGCCAACAAAAGAAACAGGACCAGATTTTTATTCAAATGGCTTGCATTAAAGGAAAAGTTATTTATTGTGGATAACATAAATAAAACCTTTGACCAAGCTCATATAACTTGTTAAGTGACAATTGAAAACAAAAGGCTCAAGCTCGTAGCACACTAGAGCTGAGCCGACAAAGCGCACTACACTAACATTTGTAGTGTGCAACATAAACCAAAAGGATGTTTAGGAACCATTGCCTATTTGGTTGGCCAATGGTAGTAGCCAATAAAAACCTATAATCATTATTTTTACAGCAATCTAATGGGCAAAAGAAAGAGAGAGAATTGATTGAGGGAGGTATAGGTCTTTGACCGACATAAATAGTAGTAGAAATTCCTAAGGGTACATTGAAAAGATAGAGAAGATTGATGTATTAAAAGAGGCTAAAATGCGATGCAGGATCAAGATTCCTCTTACTACATCTTGCAGCATGTGACGGTATTGAGTATACTATACTAAGTTGGCAAAATGGAAATTCAATACCTTATATCCAATTTAGTATCAGCTGCCCAAGCATACAAATAAAACGACTTGGGCAATGTTGCAAATCAATAAAGAAGTTGCCATCTCATTCAACAGAATCGTACTTCGCTTTGTTCCTGGGGAACAGTAAGCACCCCGTAATCAGGCTTCCATTAGGAAATTAATTATGAAAACCAATTAAATAATAGATTCACATCCATAAAGGAAGAAAGGAGATAAATGACAGAAAACTAGTTGCCGCCAATACTCTAAAAAAAGCAAAAGTATGACACCCTCTGAGAATTTTTCAGCAAAAGTGTCTCCAGATCCTTTACCACTGTTGATGGAGCTCCTAAAGGCAGATAACAACCAGTATCAATAATTTGATATACAGACCTGGTAATTAGACAAATGAGAGAAAGTGAAATCTAAACTGGAATGAAATAGATTTGGAAAAGCTTAAAGTATTATATCTATATAGAACCAAACCAATTCTGAAGAAAAATACAAATAATAGAGAATATCGTTCCAATATTCACAACATTTTGACAACACTGACAGCAAGTGTCAACAAAATTTCTCTCCCAGTACTGCCAAAATTTCAGTTTCTACGGTCCTACGGTTAGAACAACATTGACATTTGTGCTAATGTGCTGCGCACATGGTGGGATTCCAATCTGGTGATTAGAGGTTCATGTAAAGCACTTGGAAAAACATTCACGGGGAATTGAATCCCCCATTTCTCTCTCTCAGATTCTCAAAAACAAAATCCCAGCCATAAAGGGAATGAGAATGTATTTGTTCTATTTGCAATGGACTTCCATGATGCATTGGTAAGCCTATGAACCTTGGAAAAACATTTTCCAATGAATTTTCCCCTATCCAATTTCATCGCGAGTCTCACCTTAAGCCCTCTCCCAACTACCACCTTCCAGATATTCTGAAATGATCTATATCCTTGAGAATATGGTCCTTCCAAGGATTCCAGAAGTTCCCCTAGTCTCTATATTGCATCCCAACGTCTCTATGTTAGCATCCCAACATCTGTCTGGTAACCCACATTTGCTTTTATTACCTTAAGCCATAATGGCCTTTCTTTCTGGGCAAAATCTCCAAAGACGTTGAGTGAGTATTTTCTATTATTTCATTGTTTATATGATCAATGCCACCTAAAAATGTCATCACAGACATCTCCCTAGCACCATATCCCTCTTTTTCCCCAAAGCTTATAACTCTCACAGTACAATGCAGTACAAGCAGTCAGAGTATCCCAACTCTTTCAGGAATACAACGAACAACCATGAACCATGCCAAATGAGCACAACCTGCAATTGAATATCATAGAGGAGTGGAAAGGAAAACATTACAAACACAAAAATGATCATACTTCTTGTGCCCTCTTTTTGTTTTTTGCTTCTAAATCAATGGTTTTTGTTCCTTATCAAAAAGAAGGGGAAATGAACCTAACTCAACGACTTGTTCAAATTGGTATTTCTAAATTCTGGGCCAAACAAAAGCTTTATGATAGGATTCCACGAAGTAGACAAACATTATCATAGCTTCAACCTCATGTGCCATACCTTGTAAGCAGTGGCAAGGGAATTGGTTGCTTCCTGAATACTGAGGCGAAAATGCTGGGTCTCCACCTTCAATGCATCGAAAAGGCGCACAGCCATGTCAATCTTATCTCTGGAAGGAGGGAAACATGTATTCAATATTTTTCCACTATAAAATCTAATACAAAGCATGAAAGGAACATCAGAAGAACAATATGTACAAAGTCAAAGAATATAAAAACTGGAACCAGAAGAAACAAAAAGGAAGATATTGAACCTGAAAAGTTGAGGCATACGCTGTGAAAGCAACCCAATTGCTTGATAAGCAAAAGTTTTGGAGTCCCTCACAGTAACATCTGGGTAGATTTAGTGCACTATATCAATCAGATTGAATTCTGCCATTTTCATCTAATTGTAAAAGGTGCAACTGAACAGAAGTTTAAAGAACGTTCATTGCATAGGAAGCAAACCTGATTCTGAACTTGAAACTGTATCAAGTGACTTCAGAATTCCACTCAGAATAACAGGGCCCATGAGTTTAAGTTGATCAATCTTTGACTGCACACAGAGATCTTTAAAATAAATAAATAAAAACTATAGAATAAAATAAAAGGTGGAGCACAACAAATGTCAATTGAATAGTAAACACTACAGAAATAATGGAAAAATAACAAATTTCGGTGATCAATCACAAAAGCATTACAAGCCATGAAATATGTTGCAGTATGAATACTACTAAGACTGACTAAATCCAGACAAGCCAACCACCTATAGAGAGAGAAGCCTTCCTTCATCCAGCTTCTTCAGGAAATTTTTCACTACAGGATCCCAAAAACTCAAAGAACACAGCTTACCACCTAAAGGAAACCTCAAATAAGTCAAAGGCCGCCCAGCTATTTTGGACTCCACAATCCTATGATCAATACCCACCGAACCACTATTGGACATGTTTATCCAAAGACCAAAACCCATCCCAAATAACAAAATAATCTCAACCAGATTAACAAATCTAACCATATTATCCCGAAGTGAATAAATGGTGTCATCTAGGAAACAGAAGATGGGACAACTGAGTTCACTTCACACCAACCTCAAAGCACTGAATCAAATTGAACTCACTAGCCAAACCCACCAACCTACTGAAGTGTAAAGAGATCAACCATTAAATCACAAAAGAGACAGCAAAAGGGGGGTCTACCTGTCCAAGCCCGTGACACTTCAAAACTATCCCCCGGGTCTACCATTAATGACAACTAAAAAGTTGGTTGAGTCCTCCTTGATCTCCCAAAACAATTTCTAGCCAGAACAAAGTCTAGGAAACCCCAATCAACATGATCCAAATCCTTCTGCATTAAACCATTTTACAATTGACCAACTTTGAACCCTTCTGACCACTAGTCGAGCAGGACGAACACTGAACCTAGACCAGTTCAGGCAATCTTGTGAGCTCATTTAACTAGCATGGAAAAATTAGTATCACATGTCATCTTGTCTCTGCAAATTTGAGATCCAAGCCTCAAACACAAGTATGCAGACACTAACCACAGGACCTACAAAATATTTTGTGCTATCCCTGCATCATATATATTTATATAAATTATTAAAGTATAAGAATCATTAACATATTATTTGATTAACAGGAAAATATTGTAATACCAGCCTCTACCAGTCACCGTGTCAGGTCACTCTCCAAGATGGGTTTTTAACCTTATTTAAGATTTAGTATTGCTAGGGTAGCCACATTTTTGTACCACTTTTTAGTACCACATTGATACATCCACTGAGATATAATCATAAATTGACATGGCATGTAAACCTCAATGCCCACATCACAGGGTATTAATTGTGGTACAAAATGTGGTCTCCCTAGTATTATTGTATAAGATTAAGTCGTTGTTTATACTCATAAAGTGAACTGGCAAGGGGCCTGGCTAGAGTTGATGGTTAGAATTGTTAAATTCTTGGGTCTGTAGCTTAGTCGTAATTGTCTCTCATTGTAGCATATGTTTAATGACTCTTCTTGTCAAAGGGTGACTCTTCTTGTCAAAGGGGTGCTTTTAGTTTCATATCTGTTGATGTGGACTGATTGTCCACAGATTGTAATTTCCTTTTCAATAAATAATTTACCTTTCTTCTAAAAAAAAATAAATAAATGACTTAGCTTTTTGGTCTATAAATAAAGAGGAGACAACTTACGAAAACTAACCTTAATGCTGAACACATTATATTTCTTTACTTACTACAACAACCATAAAGTTAACATGTGGAACCCTTATAGTGGACCCAATCATGAAAGGGTTCAAAGTTAAGTATGCGGAACCCTTGTATAAGGTGTTAAACATCACTCGGCAAGTATTTAACACCTTTATAGGTCACAAAGAAGTTTGAAAATAAAAAGCACAACCCAAAACCAAATCAGAAGGTCCTTACATGTTTAAACACCCAGACGGTGAATTCCATTCCCAACTGCTTCAACCTTGATGTGGTATCACTTCCTATTAAGTACCAAATTACAGCATATCAAATAAATAATCAGTAGAGTATTATATCGCATACCCAACACTAAGTTAACATAAAATGGAAATAATTCTTCTTTTGGAGAGGGGTATAAGCCATTGGGCCTGACGTGACACGTATAAAAGTTAGATGATGAGAACAGTGAGTTGGTTCTGATGTGAGAAGACTCCACTGGCCATGTGTGATTTTTGGAACACTCAACCTTGCTACATTCTTAGACTCCTTTGCTAAAAACCTCTCTACCATGGCATATGACTGCAATTTCCTTGAAATTTCAGCAAAATCGTCCACTCCAGATATTCATAGAATACTTATTTAACACTCACAAGAACTATTTAATTATAGAAATTTGGGTTAAATATATAGAAATTCAAGTGTAATTAATGCTAAGAAGATAATATGCATACCATATATGCAACCAAAAATGCACTGCAAAGTTGAAGGGAAACTGTTTGCTGCTGTAATAGACCGGCAGAAAATAGATACAAGTTTTGCTTTTAAAGCAGGATTTGCAGGAGTGACTCGAGATTCGGGAGCAACATTTTGAGCTCCAGCAGTACCTACATAAGTTGAATGTTATTTATTTTATAAATGATGAATTTAATGTTAAAAGTTAAAACAAAATTTAATTCTTGTCAAAAGAAATAAATAGAGTCCAAATTTTATGTGATGGAGATAATACAGTACAAAAACTGTAGAAATGAGGACTGAATATTACTCCAACCACTGTTGGAGCCAAGATTTTTTTTTTTCTAAAAGGAGAAATCTGGAAAAATAAAAATAAAATAAACAAAACCCTAAGCACAAGAGTTCCTAGTATTTGAGGAAAATAATCACATCTGATTACAATGTATAGGGTTTGATGTCTATTGTAGTTCCAGAGACCTTTAACTGGCTTTTTTAATTGTTGTCCAGTTTTATCCTGTTTGAACAAGGAACAAGTTTAAGGGGTGAAGTGAGGCAAATTATGTTTCAAGGGAAAAAATGAGATGTGTAATTGTTTGGGGGGTAAACGTGAAATTAAGCCAAATAGCATAGTAGAATATTCCTTTAATATTTACTACCCATTGAATGGGGAAGGATAAGTGATGTGCTCAAATTTTTCCATCAAGTAAAACAAAATCATAACTTTCATCAAAGTGTAGGTGGTGATAGAAACTTTTAACATGACTATGAAAGCAAGAAGGCATGACAATAAGGCAGTATAAATGCTTTGCTGTATTTCATTTACAAGTTAAAAAAACATACACAATTACAAAACCCTTTGTGACAACATCCCAGAACCTCAACATGACTATGAAGCCAAGTTTCGCTCTTTGAACTCAAGTTTGGAAAAATATTTCTTCTAGTGTTTCTTCACATTTTAAGAATTTTTTTCGAAAGAAGAAATTTTATTATGTAAAAGAAACTGTACGGTAAAGTGGACAAGTAATTAATTCAACAAACAGCATCTACCTTAAGAACCCAAAATTAATCAAGAAGTAAGGCTTCTGATAACAGAATATTGCATTACTTGGGTTTGAGGCATGCGCTCTTAATGTCCTTCAAATCTTTTCACTAGATACTCTTAAAAGCCAAACCCTATTATCCCTTCAAACCGCAATATTTCAAAACCCAGTTTTCCTTAAACCCTAACCCACTAGAAAGGATAGCTAGGCAAGTTATCCAACCTATCCAAGGTCAGATATGCTAAGTAATGCAGCTATAATCTTAACCACATACATGTTAATCCATATTCAGAACAAGACTGTAGTTTTTAGAGGTAAAAATTAAAACGGTCATGAAACAATAAAATATCATCACAGTATGCTAGTATTCTGATCATAAGGACTACCAGTAGTAGAGTAGAACACAATTATCTCCGTAGAAGGGCATTAAACAATTATTGCAAGAATGAAATAACAATAGAACAATGAACCCACGAATTAAAATCTTACTCTATGTATAAATTACTAACACAGTCAATGAATTAAAATGAACAAAAGAGCTTTATAATATGTACCATTAAATAACAAAAAAAGTGTGTTTATGAGGTCTGAATCATCTAAGTTGGCTCCAGCAGCCTTCTTCTTTAGGAGCTCTTCCCCTTTCTTAACAACAGGCTCTTGACTAGAATCAATCAATTATTAAAATACAAATCCACATATAAAATATGTAACAAATAAGAAGACTAAATTTCAGTAATAATGGGGAAATTAGAATGTACCAGTCTACAGAGGCAGCCACATATAGAGGATAAACAAGCTCAGGGGCCAGCTCCATAGCCTCAATAACATTCAAGATCCCTAACTGCTTGCAGGAAATCAAAGTGAATAATGTAGTTATAGACAAAAATAAGGATGCATATACACATGAATATGCATTAACTGTGATAAAAATTTTAAAAAAAAAAAAGTTCTAATTTAGATTGACCCTCTCTTTAGGAGGAGAGAAAGGTGAAGGAAGGAAAACGAAAAAAGGAGGAGGGGGAAGAGGGTATTTCCGTACATTTGTAAGTATGAGGGGATATAGGAGATGGGAGGGGAACCTTTCCCTTCAGCCCACAAAAATACTTTTGGAAATGAAAAGAACAGAAGAGGTTTTGATGCATGTTTAATTTTTTTTGTCATCATAACCATTGAAGGATTACAAATCTAGTAAAAATATGTGAAAATAAAAGAAAAGGGATTTTAGTAAATCAAATCAAACATTTACTCCTTTCTTCTTTTCCTCCTATTTCTAATCATATAAGGGAACAACACTTTCTAATATTATCTATCATCCTTTTCCTCTCCCACCAAACAATAGGAGATAAGAACCAAATGTATTGTAGTTTCTCCCCCGTACCCAAAACACGCAGAACAAATATAGTATTAGTAAAAACCATCTATAAGCTCCAAAAAATAACGGCAGTAAAACACTACCTATGAGGAAAAAAAATCCACAATATCCAAAGATTAAAAAATAAAAAATAAAAATCCAACCCATACTAGATTTACCTTTCTTGTTAGAAGTATATCACTTTTCAATGGTTGTTTCCCTGTAACACGGTGGGTTTGAGCAATCGAAAGTCCAGGTGGGCATTCTCTGCTGTGAAGCATGAGTACTTTAAGTATGATATGACAAAAGAAATGTTCTAAGAGAAGAAAGAAATGCTGTGAGATTTATATACTGCTCCAGTACTAAACCAAGTTCCACACCTTTGAGATGATTGTTGATACAAAATTGTATGAAGGCAAAATTCAAGAAACAACTTCCTGTCCTGAGAATAACATATCGTTTTATACTTTGCAGCAACTTCATCATTTACACCACTTGAGTGACACTCACCCATGACCTGTAATCAAATGAGAATCAATAGTTATGCATACTCAAGTCCCAAAAGAACCCAAATTATGCAACATGAATTCACTAGTTGTTTTAAATTATATCAATATACAAATTGAGCGTCAAATAAATTGGATACTAATAGCTCGATAAGTCTCAAAACTTCTCCAATTCACTATACGAAATGTACACTATTTTTTTGCCATACCCAACTCTAACAAGCCTAAATCCCAACTACATCCTGGTTGATAAAACCATTTTCTATCATTCAACTTGAATAAGTTTCCATTTGACAGAACCAGAACACCAAGAAAATGCTAAATAATTCACTAATGATCCACTGGAACAAGATTATGAACTTATTTTTAGAATTCTAAGAAACACGTCATGTCTACTCCTATCTGTAAAATATTCCTTGGATTGAGATTTGCTTTTCCCATCCAAGAACCATCAGATTTAAACAGTCTCACTTATTATGTGCCCATTATTAACTTAAGGGAGGCCATTTTCCCATCCATTTCACCTACTTCACTCCTCTTTCTTTAATGCTTTTCATTACTTTTTATCATTTGAAAGCTTAATTTGGCCTAACACGTTGGATATATTACTTCCAGCCCAACGATCAAGATTTAACACATCAAGAAAGTAAGAGCCTGACATGAAAAGATTCTGAATCCCAACGTACAATCTTAGCCAACAGAAATCAGAACTCACTTCTATTAAAGTTGGTTGCCTAAGATATAAACCCCATATATTTATGTGAACTTCCTGTTTCTTCAAAAACATAACATATTATCCCTCTTAAATTACGCCCAGTATGTTCTGCAAGTAGTAAGGATTATGTGCATATCTTTCCAACACACTCATCAACTAACTAAGAACTAACAGACAGATCTCAAACAGCATAATTGAGCTACAAGGGGCTTAAATAACTACACGACAGTCAAAAGCAGATGATGCATTTAGATACCTTGGTAGCGAGTCTGAGTATAATTTCGTGGTGCTGAAGAGGGAGTTTGGAAACACCAGACAGCAGTGTAGCTGCCAAATTTTCTTTTTCCTATAACAGAACATGAAAGATGTCTTACCATCAAAGCTGTCATTTGAAACAAACCCAACATGCCATACGAGAGGAGAAAAATGGAATATAGAATATGGAGATAGATACCTTTGTATCAGCACGATCCATTGCCATCTCAATATAGAGGATGCAGAAATTCCTCACCATTGAAGCAGCATTAGCTTCTGAATATATATTCCATAACTCTGATAAGGGTAAAGCAATCTCAGGTTGATGCTTTACTCTCTTGTTCACGTGACTCAATATCTCAAGAACCTGTCCAAGTAACAAAAAACCCCAATTTCAAAATTTAAATCCGTATCCTAATTCTTAAGTTCATAGAATTGAAAACCCAATTACCAAACTCAGCTATATACAAGTAAAACTAATATTTGTAGCAATTATTGTCAGGAGCTTCAAGAAATTCATTGAAGCAAACTCAATCAGAAAACAGACCTTGTTGCGGACGGCGGAGGAGTTAGAAGAAAGAGAGGAAACGGTGAAGGGGAGAAGCTTGGAAAGTAAGGGTTGGAGCTTGGAGTCGTCGCAGAGAGCCAGACGTGTGAGCAAGCGGTCCAGCATCTCTTCTTTTTCTTCATCCGATTTTGTTGAAGACGACGACGATGATGTTTCCGCCATTTCTTTCACCGCACGACACCAATTGCCAATTGCCCGCTCTTAGTATGTATAGACAGACACAGGCTACTCTTTAGTCCTGCCTCTTTTGGTGGGTTTTTAGTACATTGGTAGGGAGTTCAAATGACACCCCTCAAATATTGACTCATCGCACCCGACCCGGTATCACCTAATTACGCTGAAATCACTTGGGGTACGTTAGGGAGGGCTTCTGGTTGGGCAAAAAGTGTTTTCTGACAATTAAAAGCGTTTCTCACGGCGTTTGATAAAAAAGTTTAGAAGTGCTTTTAGGTCATAGAAGCGCTTTTTGAAGATTTTTTCAGGAAGCACTTCCACGTGCTTTCTCGGGAAGCTCTTTGATTTTTTATGAAATTTTCAACAACTTTATAATAAAAGCGTTTTTGTTAAAAGCACTTATAGTTCTTTCTGGAAAAGCAGTTCCAAACGAGCTCTTGACCTCTTGCACAAACGCAAACTCACATTACTTTTTTACAAAAATGAAAATCTCACCCAAGCTAAGGCCTAGTTTGGGATTGCTGCCGCTTTAAAAAAAATCTGCTTCTGCTGTGCTTTAAAAAGAATCAGCTGTAAAGTAAAGCAGTTAAACATTTGGTAAACTGTAATTTTAAAAGTGTTGTGAGTATGAAAAGCAGTGTTAGAGCGTTTGGTAAATTTTACCGTAAAAGTGCTGTAACTATTTATAATTACTAAAATGGACATGATGCCGAAAGTGCTTTTTACTAATCTGTTTGGTAAAAAATAAAACTGTAAAGTGCTTTTATACTTTTCTCCCTAAAAATTATATTAATCTTTGCTTAAAGAAAAGAAAAATTCAAATTGAATAAACTCCAACAAAGATAATTATGATTTGAATAAATTCCAACAAAGATAAAGAGATCACCACGGTAGTAGGTTCATACACCATCCTTGATATTGAATAAGTAATAAACATTTTTTTAAGGTTTGAATTGTAGCAATAAAAACAAATTGAAACTAGGCTTAAATAAATGGAAATAAAGAAAATGTCTAAGAAGATGCATGCATTAAACTTGCAGCAATCTTGTTCCTTAATGTTTCTAGTTCTTGTGCTCCAGGCCCTTGAGTAATATGATATTCTTCTTGTGCATCACCCTCCATCTCCATTGCATTTGGGTTGTCATTCACTTTGTCAAAATGAATACCACGTTGGGCATGCCTCCTTATATAGTTGTGAAGTGCCATAGTTACAAGATGACAAGGATTCAAACACACTCCCATATATTTTTCCCTTATGTTTTGGGTCTATAGTTTTGATATTTATTCACAAAAGATTAATGGAAGTCAAAGAAATAAAGTTTGCAGCAAAACTAGTTTATCATAAAGGGAATTAAAATAAAGTTTGCAGCAAAACACGTACTACAAATGAAAATCCATCATTGCTGGGATTGAATTGGCTATGGCCTCTAAAGATATGAATTCCAAGGAAGGGTCATTTGTGATGCTGGTTTGTGGTGGCGGTTCCATTAACCAGGTCCAGGTTCTACCAGTTGGGTTTTGGGTATGAAATTTTGCTCCCTTTTTTGGTTAAGTTAAGTTGAGCTTGTTTGGAATTGTTATAACTTTTCAGTATGCCAAAATTCTCTCACAATTCATAAAAGTGATTTCTTGTTTGATTATTCAGTGAAACGTGTAATACATGCAGCATGCTCTGTTTGCACACTAAGAAATCTGATAAGAAACAAATTAGGACTTGCCCAAAACACAACAGAAACATAGTTTACAAACACGCAGATAACACAAACCCAAAAACAGAGATTTCAGGCACGTAGATTTCCCAAGAAATATTATATTACAAGTATGCAGATTATATAAACATATAATATTTGTATGAAGAAGAAGACGAAGAAAAATAAACCCAGTAGAAAAATAAAGCCCATTGACAACCAATGGAGGCCTCGCAAACCAGTAGAACAATAAAGCACGTAGAAAAATAAAAAAAATAAAAAACCAAGAGCAACACGTATATAAAAAGTTTGAGAGATTGAAGAGATTGAAGAATCTACCTTGTGAAAGAGATTGAGAGAGATTGAGAGAATGGTTGTCTCCAAACTTGGGAGGCTACGTGAAGATGAACTTTGGTGTCTGCAGATTTGAGAGAAATACGTGAGAATAGATTTCTAACCTAATAAGGGTATTTGTGGAATTGCAAAAATTTCATTAAAGGGAGCGCGCTGCTTCAATTAAAAGCAGCTTTAAAAAGCAACCCCAATGTTGCTTTTAAAAGCTGCTGTCAAAAGACCATTGCTTTTAAAATAAGCAGGATATTTTATTTTTACCAAACACCTTAAACTGCTTAACTTTAAAGTTAAGCAGGTTTTTGGGGAAAAAAAGCAATCCCAACGGGGCCTAAGATATAGCCAACGGTGTCTAACAGAGTGGGAAAGCGCCTTAACTTTCATATCAAAGGTCTCAGGTTTGAATCCCTACAGCATCATAATTGTGTGTGTGAGAAATCTCTCTCTCCTTCGGTTTAGACTATCTTTTGTACTAAAAAAAAACTAAGATATAACTATTTTTCTTTAATTAATTTTTTTTTATACAAACCATATTATACTTTAATCTAATCTGAAATACATAGAAGGGGATTCGAAGTTGGGTGCATAATAGAGAGCTCATCTGCTCTAACCAACTTTGCTAAGCCCGTGTTCACTTCTTAATTAATATTTGTTTAATTGAATCTTGTCCACATTTATTTATTTTTAGGGGTTTTAACCGTAATAATCCTTAAACTTATACTAGAGTTTTATTTTGGTCTTCCAACTCTCCTATTCATGACATTCAATCCTTCCGTCAAATTCCTTCAATTTGAACGTCTATGGGAGGGGTAAAATTGTCAATTTGGCCACAAGTATCTTCTAAAATGACCACTCATAGTAAGATATATTTTGTATTTCAAATCCCAAGAGCTGAGTCCAAATCAGACAATATATTTTTTAAGAAATGTGTTGTCATTTGGTAATAGAGTCGGACCATCCAAACCTCTAATATGGGTGAATTATGTTGACCATACGTGGTACCAAAACCCACATTGCCCGAGATAAGTAAAAATGAAGTGACGTATATCGTATATGTGTAGATGTAATATCTTTTACTAGATAATGAAAGTAGTTCTAGCAAACAATTTAAATATCCTCAAGTATTTGACCAAACCAAAGAACAATGAGATCACAACGATTTATAGACAAGAAAATTATAGAATAACATCTAACGCTCAAGAAAGAAAAGCATATAGGCTCAAAAGCTCACATAATGAGAGTTACACTAATTCTTATTTGGAAATTTAATTAATGTGAAATCGCCAATCGAAAATCATATCAACACAGCTATATGCAAAATGATTTGCCAAGTTTAGTCATCAAAGTATGGCTAACACAAAGATAATGTAAAAAATTAATGACATGCTCACATTTTCTTGAAAGTTAATTGAAAATAAAGACCAAATCTCATCATAGAACTGGGAAATGACTACTAACAACAAATAAAAACAAGACTCAAAGTAAAAGAACATATTTTTGGGTTTCTTGAATTTTTTATTTATTTATATAAAATTCATAAAGAGAAAATGAAAAATAAAGAAAGAAAAATAAAACACAAGCTAATTAAATAAAAAGTAAACGTTTAAAAAGTAAAGACAAAAGGCTAATCTTAATGAGAAACAGAAACTTGAAAAGGTGGACTATAACATTGATATTGCAATGTGGGAGTAAAGTGGCAGTCGATCAGTCAATCATTATGGGCAATCGATTGGACTAAGAAACTAAGTCATGCAAAAGCAATTAAAGAGAGAGAGGGTGTGAGAACATCCTAGGTTTTTGTAGGTGTATGGATGAGCTAAGCGTAGAATTTGTCGAAGTGAGAGAAGATAGACAACGTGATGAACTCAAGCACCCACAACTTGTTTCTTTGAATGCCAACAAACCTAAGACAAAGCAGGAATATGATTAACCAAAACTAATAATTAAACAAGACGACAAACAAAAAAACAAAACAAATTGTTTTTTAGAACTTGGGTTACCTCCCAAGAAGCACTTCTTTAAAGTCATGAGCTAGACTTTTCGTTAGTTGTATGTTCGTAGAAGTCTCCTAAAGCTCACTTAAATTCAAAGATTCATAAACAGAAAACGACATCAACTTAATTGAAGCACCTAAGTCTAATAAAGCATGTTCAAACATTTTATTGCCAATTATACAAGGTATAGTAAAACTCCCTAGATCCTTTAGTTTAGGAGGCAATGTACCCAACAGTGCAGAGACTTCCTCACTTAAGGTCACCGTTTCATTCTCCTTGAAACTCCTCTTATTTGTACAAAGTTCTTTGAGGAACTTTGCATAGCTTGGAATTTGCTAGATTGCATCGAGCAAAAGAATGTTCACTTGAACTTTTGGGAAAGTCTCTAACATGTCCTTTGAAGCTTGCTCCTTCTTTGAATTCATAAACCTATGAGGAAAGGGAACTTTTGAAGTAATCGAATGATTCACAAGCGAACTTACCTTAGAGTTGTCACTTGCAACCGTAGGCTTGGGAGAGGAGGCAACCACGATTTTGAATGAATTTATATCCACCTTTGTCAAATTGATCACATCCTCCTCTTTGTCATCATTTCCCACCTCTTTTCCACTTCGGTGAGCAATCACCTTTGTGATTTCATGGCCTCCATTAGGATTTGGAATTAATTGGCTCGGAAGCTTCCCCTGGCTCTATTTGACTCAAGGAGGCTGCAATTTGTCCAACTTCGTTTTCAAGACTCTTGATTGTTGTGGACATTTGTGCTTTTGTTTACCTTGTTTCCTACATAAAACCTTGAGTGGTAAAAGTCAAAGAATTAATTAACTCTTCTAAAGACTTACCTTGCCTAAGAGGTGGTGCTGGTGCATTTTGTTGAGGAACAAACTAATTTTGCTGAACTGGGGCTGATTACACGTTTTAGTTATTCTTATTAAAATCCAAAGTTAGGGTGTTGACGGCATCCAATATTATATGTATTAGAAAATAGGTCGTTTCTTGGCTTTTGTTGTTGCATATAGTTTGCTTGAGCCATCTTTTCCCCATCACCATACAAACTTAGACAAGACTCCGTAGGATGTTCGGGATTGGTGTACACGACACACACTTGTGCTTGAGGTATTAGGGGTAATTACAATTTTGATCACTGGGGTTAGGGTCGAATTTAATTTTGGTCATCGAAGTTTCAATTTTTTCGATTTTGGTCATCACACTTTACTTCCTCTGCAAATCAAGTCCAATTGACCCATTCCATCAGTTAAGACACACGTGTTGGGTGCGTGCAGAGACATAATTGGAACTTAACCATTTAAACAATTATTAAATTAAAAAAACAAAGCGAAAAAAAAAGAACCAAAAGAAAAAACAATTAAATGGCTCTATCTTCCCTTTCTATCTCTTCCCTCTCTCTCTCTCTCTCTCACTCTCTCTCTCTCTCTCTCTCTCTCTCTCTCTTCTCGATCTGAAAGGGGTTTGTTCGAACCCAAAACTCACACCCACATACCCTCCCCACTCCAATGCAACCCAACCCACACTCCCCATCGCCTCTCCTTGATTTTTCATCTGAGTCGCCAGTTGATCGAACTTGCCCATCCTCCTTGGAATCCGTTTTCCTTCAAATTCGCACGCCCTCTCAACAGCACCACCTTTGATCTAGTGAGAAAATCTCATCTTTCAATTTTTGGGTTTTGCAGGACTAGTTGTGATTCAAATTTTTTTTCAAGGTGGATTTAATTGAATTTTTGGTGATGGTTGGGAGGGAGGTCAGTAGCTGTTGTGGTGTGGATGGCTGTTGAAGAAAGGGGAAAGAGATAGAGCAGAGAGAAAGATGAGGCAAATGGGGTAGTAATGAGTGATGGCTAGGATGCCGGTGGGTATTGTGGTGTGGGTGGCTATTGAAGAGAGAGGATTGCATATGTAATTATTTTTGCAGCATCCATGCTCATGCTTAAAAGATTGATGGGTTGGTTTGTATAGGTACAAGAAGAAAAGTGAACCCAAAACCCCTCATCTCTCTCTATCTTCCCTTTTTATCTCTTCCCCTATCTCTCTCTTCAATCTGAAAGGGGTTTGTTTGAAGTTTGAACCCAAAACTCATACCCACCTACCCTCCCCATCCCACTCCAATGCAACCCAACCCACACCCACCCACACTCCCCACCACCTCTCCTTGACTTTTCATCAGAGCCGCTAGTTGATCGAACTTGCCCATCCTCGTAGAAATTCATTTTCCTTCGAATTTGCACGCCCACTCAACACCACCACCTCAAATCTAGTGAGAAGATCTCATCTTTCAATTTTTGGGTTTTGCAGGAATAGTTGTGATTCAAATTTTTTTACAAGGTGGATTTAATTGAATTTTGGTTGCTGGAAGGGAGGTCAATAGCTGTTATGGTGTGGATGGTGAAGAGAGGGGGAAGAGATAGAGGAGAGAGAAGGATGAGGCAGATGGGGCAATAATGAGTGATGGCTGGGATGTCGGTGGGTATTGTGGTATAGGTGGCTGTTGAAGAGAGATGATTGCATATATAATTATTTTTGCAGCATCATGCTCATGCTTAGAAGATTAATGGGTTGGTTTGTGTTGGTACAAGAAGAAAATTCGAAAAAGGAATTGATGGGTTGGCCTAAAGCTTCAATTGTAGCAACAATAGAGCCCTTTCGTGGATCTCGACAAAAGAAAAATACATGGTTATTGATTGGATAGCATGTCAAATATGCTTCAAGGGACACATAAAAACAAAGCAACTATCCATGTATAAGGAACCAAACATACAGAAAACTGAACGGTAGTGAGGCTCCTCGACAGGAGTGGAACGGTATTTCAATAGGAGATGCTAGGTTTTTTCATAGTCTTCCTTGCTTATGAAGCATGTTAAGGAGAGTTTTTGTGTTTTATGAATAGGAAAATTGATTTGCATAGGGTTTTCCACAATCTAGGCACTAGTTTTGCAAGTTTGGTGTTCGAAATTCTTGATTGTATGATGGAGGCAATTGATGAAATAGTCTCTAGCATGCATAGAACATTGGCAATTTTGGAAACTGAAGCTCTTGAAGTTGGGGTTGAAGAGATAGCATCGTTAACGGTGGAACGCTTTCTTGTGGTGGGGAAGTGTTGTTTGGGACACTGAAACAGATTTGGCATACGTGAGAAGACTTTACGGCGGTTTCTTTGGATGAGGTGTCATGGTTTTTGTTTTCTTTTAAAAATGAATTCAATCGGGATTTTTTTTTAGGGGATCCCTTTGGAGTTTTGACAGAGCTTTGCTGGTACTTGCGGCTACGGATGGTAGGGTGGATCCTGGTTTGGTACCACTAGATACCCAGTGTTTCTATATTAGGGTTCGGCGGATTCCACCACTCTTTTTTAAGCCGGCAATAGGAGAAAAATAGGGAATTTTTTGGGCACCTGTATTACAGTTGATCGGGGGCTTAATGGGGACTGTTTAGGATGCTTCCTTCTTATTCAAGTAAGTTTGCAAATAATGAATTGTTGAAGCAATGTGTGATGCTCCGTCTAGCCCCAGACGAACTTGCAAAACAATATGAAATTGAGTATGAACAACTCCCATTTTTCTCTTTTTTTTTAGGAAGACTTGACCACGTGGGAACCAATTGTGCATTGAAATCAAGAGGGCTGAAGGTTGAGCAATATGGGAAGTGGAAAATAGCAGTGAAGGAGGTTTATAGTATTTTTGCTGAGAATGGAATGAAAGGTAGACGTTTTAGTTTGGGTGATGATAACTCAAGTTCGGTGGCTCTCGTCCATAAGGGGTGCAGTTTCGAGCATAAGAGGGGCGGGTATCCGGTGTTGTTAGGCCTTTCAAGACTGCCTTCACTGTCCATGATGATGGGGGAAGGGATGTGGTAAAGGAAGATGATATGGAAGATTTTGCCGAAAGACCATTATCAAAGAAACGGAGAAGGGCAGATGGTGGAGGGAGTGAGGTTGCAATTAACTTGGCCCCTGAAGTATCTACTGTACAGTTTTGTGAAGTACTAGTTACTGCCATCTACAAGATGTTGGATAAATGTCAAGAAGATGTAGATGAGGGATTTGGAAATAAAGGTAAACATGTGGTGATCAGGGAGATGGTGGAGGTGGAGGCGGGTGTTGATATGCAACCGCTTCTGGATAAACGAAAGGGTAAGTGGCTCCATGTGGGAGGGGCTCGAGCTAGGGGTAGCCCTAAAGAAAGAGGAGGTTCACAAAAAAGTGGAGAGGGTAATTTGATCAATGAGTCTCGCACAGCTGGACAAACCGTGATAGGTCCCGGATTAAGGGCCCATCACAAGCAATGACGCTGTTATGCTGGAATGTTCGTGGGTTCGGCAATACACGAACACTCTGTGCTTTGAGATTCCTTCTCAGAGATAAAAAGCCTTAGGTTATGTTCTTATCTGAAACTAAGAAGACAATTTGTCAGATAGAGGTGGTGCGATGACAGTTAGGATTGGGAGGTTGTTTCAGTGTTAGTCAAGATGGATGGTTAGGTTGTTTATCCTTATTGTGGCAGCATAGGGTGGATGTGACCATCCGATCCTTTTCGGCTAGACACATTGATGCTTACATTGGTGGTATGGAACGAGTTAGTTTTTGTTTTACAGATTTTTACGAGAATCCAGGAACATGTTTGAGGAAGTATTCTTGGGAACTACTAAGAAGATTGGCTTACGGTGGTAAGGGTGTGGTTGGTAGGAGGTGATTTCAACAAGATTCTTGAAGCTCATGAATATCTAGGCCATTGTTATAGGCCAACTGCTTAGATGTTGGATTTTGGGGAGATGCCCGGCGGCTGTGGTCTAATGATAGTAGATTTTAAAGGATATAAGTATACTTGGTCCAACCGATGGCAGGGAGATGGTTTGGTTTAACTTTGGTTAGATCGAATGGTGGCTAATGCAGAGTTGTGGTTGCAATTTTCGGAGATCAATACCCATCACTTGAACTCTATTATTGTTTATCACCTCCTTATTCTCACTTTTTTGAAGCTTTCAAGTCAAGGCCGGGAAAGCGACGCTTTATGTTTGAGGAGATATGGTCTACGGTTAAAGGTTGTGAAAAAACCATTATAAGTGCATAGGCACGGAATACAGGGATCGTGGTGGAAAAGTTGAAAGATTGTCAAGAGTCTCTACAACAATGGAATAAAGACAGTGTGAGGGTATCTTCCTTCACACATCCGTCGTGTACAAGGTCAGATTGATGATCTACAACGAAGGAGTTTTAATTCTGATACTGATAATCAATATCGATTTTTATCTCGGGAGTTGGATTTTTTGCTGAAGAAGAAGGAGGTCAAGTGGAGGCAAAAATCAAGAATATCCTAGTTAAAAATTGGAGATCGAAATACAAAGTTTTTCCATGGGCAAGCCAAATAGCAAGGACGTATTAATCGGCTCAAAGGGATTCTTGATGAGGGCGGGGTGTGGCGTACATCAAGGGAGGATATTCGAGATGTTTTTTGTGATTATTTTCAGGGCTTGTTCACGATGATGGGTTCATGTGGCTTTGATGATATCCTGGAGGCTGTACAACTAGCTGTAACTAGTGAGATGAATGCTCGACTTCTTTTACATTTCAAGCGAGAGGAGCTTGAGAAGGCACTGGGGCAAATGTTTCCCACCAAGTCCTCGAGGATGGATGGTATGCTAGCATTATTTATCAGAAATATTGGAGGGTAGTTGGCGATGATGTTACTAATTTCTGTTTGAATATACTTAATGGAAGGGGTAGTGTGCAGACAATAAACCATACCCTGCTGACTCTTATCCCTAAGACTGAGTGTCCGGCATAGGTGACTGAGTATAGACCGATCAACTTATGTATGGTGTTGTATAAGATAATTTCAAAGACTCTGGTGAACTGGATGAAACAAATTATGCCAGCAATTATTTCCAATTACCAAAGTGCTTTTGTTCCGCTCGGTTGATAATAGATAACATAATTGCAGCTTTTGAAAGTATTCATGCAATTAAATGTCGCGGTAGGAGTGGACTGAAGAAGATGGTGCTAAAATTGGACATATCAAAAGCTTATCATCGTGTGGAGTGGTTATTTATGGAAAGAATGACGCAATGTTTGGGTTTCAATGCTAGATGGGTGGCATTAATAATGGATTATATAACCACTATTATGTATTCTGTCTAAGTAAGAGGTGTTGCTTCAGGGATGATAACCCCTTCTCGAGGGTTGAGGCAAGGAGACCCTTTTTCACCTTATTTATTTTTAATTTGTGCGAAAGGGTTGTCGGCTTTGCTTACCCGTGCCTTACAAGGAAAATGTATAAAAGGACTGTCTATTGCCCAGGAAGCGCCTACTCTTTCTCATTTATTTTTTGCAAATGATAGTCTTCTTTTTTGTAATGCTCATTTATCTGATTGCTCTAATCTATTGCATATCCTCAAATTGTATGAAAGGGCATCAAGTGAGAAGATAAATTTTGATAAGTTGTTTTAGCCCTAACACTGATCCGATTATGAAACAGTTGATTTCGAATTTGTTTGGAGTAAAGATTATAGCTTTCCATGAAAAATATTTGGGTTTGCCAACGATGACAAGGACAAATAAAACCCAGATGTTCCAATTTGTTTGGGAGAATCTGTGGAGAAGACTTACTACTTGGAATGGGAAATTTGTTATCTGCAGCAGGAAAAGAGGTGCTTATTAAGGTTGTGGCGCAAGCTTTACCTACATATACTATGAGTGTTTTCAAACTGCCTTAGCAACTCTGTCATGATTTGTCAGCTATGATCAGTTGATATTGGTGGGGAAAATCTGGGAGGAGGAGTATTCACTGGCTGGTTTGGTGCAAACTTTGTCAACCCAAGTGTTTTGGGGGTCTTGGTTTCAAGAATTTCGAAGCATTTAATAAAGCAATGGTGGCCAAGCAATCTTTGAGACTACTGGAGGATCCTTCCTCTCTTCTCGCACAGATGATGAAAGTGTTTCCCTCTTTGCGGCTTGGGCAGCGGCCGACTGAAGGAACTTTTGGTCCTTCTTCTTTTGGATGCGGGGCATGCCACCACCAAGCCCCAAATTTGGGCTTGAATGGAATGTGAGTAGATGGATGTGTTGCGTCCGAGATCTGACTTTAATCAAACGATTGTTCAGCCGAGTAAGGAACCTTCTCACGGCCTATGTTCTTTCACTACCTCGGGGTCAAGGCTTTATGTGAGCGACCAAATGATGTAGAGTGGGTGGAGATGTAGATGGAAGGTGAAACGTAATGAAACGGAGAACAAGTGCGTAAAGTAAAGGTGCTTAAACTTAAATATAATTTAAAGACAAATGCGTAAAATAAAGTGTGAAAAATAAATAACGAAAAGACGAGAATTAAAGTGCGATAAAATAAATCAAAGCGATAAGTAAAGAAGAATGAAATGAAAGTGATAAGAACGATAAAGCAAAATGAACTTGAAATTAAACTTAATTGAAGTGCGATAACAATGAAACGTGAAGCAATTGAAATAAACTTGAATTTAAATTACAAGAAAATATAAATTGAACGAGAATTTAGATTTATACTAAGAAAAGGAAGAACTTGCTACATTAAGTGCATGTAAAGTAAAATCCTAAGTCTAGGAAAAGAAAAGTGCGAGACGAAAAATAGGTTTATCTGTCTGATGTTGTGTGTCTTCCCCCTTCATTTGATGAGGTTTATATAGAGGCATCCGTCAGCCCATGGGTTGGCTATTAAATGTCCAAATGTCAACTTCATTCAAAACCTTTCCTTGTGAAGCCTTCAAATCTATGGGATCACAATGATGGAGACCTTCTGATTGCTTGATCTTCTCTTCTTTTGGAATACTCCAGATTATCGTCAATCTCCTTGATTTCCTTCCTTATAAAGCCTCCATCACATGCACGCTAACTCCGAAAATCATGGGTTCTAATGTGTGCCTTGGGCTTGGACCTCCGAGACTTTAACTTGACATCTGGTGAAACATTGAAACTTCTGGAATTCTGATCTTGGTTAAAACACTCATTGATGTTCATGACTTAGAATTTCTTGACCGAACTTGGAGTTGGGTTTGACTAGGCTGATCAAAGGCCAAGATCTTAGCTTATCAGAGGACTTGATCTTGGTTGATCAGATGACTTGGCATTGGCTGATTAGATGACTTGGCCTTGGCTGATCAGGAGACTTGAGCTTGGCTGATCAGAGCACTTGACCTTGTCTAATCAGATGACTTGGCCTTGATCCACTTCAGAAGTTCTAGATGTTTCGACTTTGGAAGTCAGATGTTTTCAACCCATTGTTGGAAGTTGGGTTTCAACTTCTAAAATCTTAGTTTGAATTATGATGGAACATCGTGTATCTTAAGCTATAAACTTTACTGAAGATTAAACGAGATAGGGTGCAGGATGACCCCCAAGTCCGGCCTTCTTGTTTCGATTTGGCCGTTAGGCACCTTGAGCCGCCAATTTGCATTGTGGCCTATTTGTTTTCCAAGATGCATGGTCAGATTTCGACCAGGCTCAAACAGAAAGCAAGATATTTTCCTACTAGTTCTTTCCTACAAGCTGAATTGGGGTCTTCTCTTTCTCTAATTTGGAGGGCTCTCTTATGGGGGTAGGGATGTGCTTCATGATGGTTTCGTGGGGCGAGTGGGGAATGGAAATTCAATCAGAGTTTTTCACAATAAATGGATACCAAATCCGTTACTTTCAAGAAGTTGATGAACAATGGGTTAAACTGGGATGCGAAGGTTGTAGATTTATTTACTTCTTCAGGAAGTTGGAATTTACCTCTATTAGATACTTCTTTTGTAAGGAGGATTGTGATGCTATTGCGAGTATTGATCTTGGTTTCGCAACCCCTTTGGAAGATGGTAGTTATTGGTTATTTTTGAAAAATGGTAAATAAACTGTGAAGTCCGGGTATCATGTGGCTCTTCGTCAGTGTGAGGAGAACAGCGGTGATGGTGTGGGTGCTTCAAATTCGAAGCCTCAACATGGTTTTTGGAAGGTTATTTGGAAGTTGGGGTGCCCAATAAAGTGAAGTTGTTGCTTTAGTGGGCATGCTCTGACATTTTGCTGACTGCCCAAAATTTATTCCGGCGAAGAGTTGCTTATACTCCAATCTGTTTGCGGTGCAGTTAGGTTGAGGAAGGTACGTGCATGCTCTTTGGGAGTGTAAATACAGCAGCAAGTTTTGGCGGTGTACATCATTCTCAATACATTTAGGTAAGGTGCGTTGCTCTTTTACTAATTTCTTTGAGCGGTGAGTTGGGATTCTCTCTTCCCACGACCTGGAAATTTTTGCTTGTTGTTTATGGAGAGTTTGACAGTTGCATAATGATCTTGTACATGGGAAACTATTGGGCCTTATGGAGGATCTTGTGTTTAAAACATTGGAGTGGCATGTGCAATTTAAAGCATGCAATACTAGAGCTGAAAACGATCGAGTCCCTCACCATGTACGGTGGATCAAACAAGGAAGGAAGGTGCGTTGGATAAGGAAGGAAGGAGCAAGGGTCTTGGGGGGTGTCTTCGAGATTCTACTAGAAGTTTTATCTATGGGTTTGCTTGCAATGGTCCACCGAGTTTGAGTGTGGTAGGGACGGAGCTTGCAGCAATAAGAGAGGGGTTACAAACCATGTTTGCTTATGAGTATACTAGTTTTATTCTGGCTTCTAACTCTCGGAAAACGGTGTCTATGCTTAAAGGAATGGTGGATGGTGGAGTAATGTTGGGAATATAGTGGAAGATGTGCGATGATTAATAGCAGATGTTGCAGTCTTGGATGTTGTGTCCCAGCCACGGCAAGGAAATCAGGTGGCGCATTTATTGGCAAAATTTGGATAAAGAGAAGGGATTAAATTTTGTGGGAGGATGTGGCTCTATCTTGGTTAGGGTCATCTTTGACGATAGATTGTGAGAACACCTAGTCTTTTGTTCTGCCTTTATGGGAGGAGTGATGGTACTCTTTTTCCTTGACTGAATTTTTCTCATTTAGGGGTTTTTAAAGGCAATGTTTTAATAAGGCCACAATATGACTCCTCTGCTTGTTTCGAAGTTGATGTACTGTTTCATTATAAAAAACTTATAAATTTAAAGTTCGTAGCATTCGTATTTTTTATTCTTTTGAATATTCTATTCTATTCTATTTTACTCATAATCACTTAAATTTATTCTTTTTAAATATTCTATTATGATCACCAAGTTCGTAGCATTTTTTATTTGACAATATATGAATTATAACAACCAACTAGATCATAATAATTCATAAATTTAACAATGACTTGTGTAGTTTACATGTCACTTATGAACAATGACATTTGTGGTTCGTACTTAAATGTCTTTCTTTTTGTTAATTTTCAAGGGTACAACAGTCCATCTAAGATGTTGATCGGGAAATATTTATCTCATTGATATATATATTTGTATGCTTTAGAAAATAAATTAAAAATAGAAAAACTTAGGCCCCGTTTGATAACCATTTCAATTTTAATTTTTATTACATTTTTTGTGCTAGAGCATAAAGGATAAAGATGGAGAATATAAGTGAGAATAAGAGTGAAGATGGAATTGAGAGGAAAGATAAGAGGGTTGGATAGGAATGAGGATTAACAAAAGTGAAAAAAATACTGAAAACAGAAATCTATATATGAAATTGTTTTCATTTTCAAGTTTTTGTTTTCACTTTTGTTACTTCTCCCCTCTCATCCTCTCTCAATCTCATCCTCACTCCCGTCTCACTCTCATTTTCATCTATACTCTAGCATAAAAATTAAAATTAAAATCTAAAAACTAAAATTGAAATGGTTATCAAACGAGCCCTTATTTTCTTTAATTTATTATTTTCTTGTAATTTTTTCCCACACAAAATTCTTTTTTTTTTTTTTTTTTTTTTTTTTTTGTGGTGAAAGTGGTGCAACTTTTGTTTACAAAGAGGTAAATGGAGCTCCCGACCTTTCCCACAAATTTATGTTTTATGAAAGGAGCACGTTTTTTTTTTTTTTTTTTTTTTTTTTTTTAGAAAAAAGAAAAAGGGTTTTCGACCGAAATGGTCTCCCAACTAAATTTTCATTTCAATAGTCCTCCAACTATTCATTTGGTATCAAAACAGTCCCACCGTTAAAGACTATTAGAGCATGTCCACTCCAAAAGGCTAAAGCTAAGGCAAAGGCAAAGGCAAGGCAAGGGCTGCTACTATTCACGTGAATAGTGGCAGCCTTGCCTTTTTTGGTTCCACCCCAAAAGGCTAGGGCAAGGGCAAGAAAAAAAAATATATATGCAACAAAATATGAACTTGTTATGTATTTATAAGGAAAGTGAATAAAATTGTTATGTATTTATAGGGAAAACATCCATAATTTTTTGGTATTTTTTAATTTAAAAAATTGATTTTTTAATTTTATTTTATTCAATTTTTTTGATTTTTTTTTACTCGCTGACATCAGCGCCTTCGGGCTGAAGCCCAGTCAAGATCAGCCTTTGGGCTTGCCCTGGCTACTGGTTGCGCACTGGAGGTCCAAACCCTTCAAAAGGGGCCTCCTGCCTTGGCAAAAGGCCCTGTGCTGGAGGTGCTCTTAATAGTGCCATTAAATTGAGGAGTAAAGCTATCCATATACATGAAAATATTAATATATAATTCAAAATTAAAGGAATAAAACTTAGAAAATAATAAAAATTGAAAAAATTGAATCTCACCACCAGCCAGTCACCTACATAGTTGGAGGACCAGGAACAACAAGGAAGAGATGTGATTCACCACCACCACATCTCTGAAGGAAACATGCATCTAATACTTAGGACATGAACTTTAGCCACAACCTATACAACAAAAACGTTCTAAATGGCAGATTCATTTTGTTTATACTAGTTGAGCTAAACCTTTTTCATTTTAAACCAAGTATCTTAGTCTAGTCTCTTTGAACACAAATAGATAAGGAAATAAGGGAAAAAGGGAATAGATCATTTACCCTTGATGACCTTTTCTTGATTTCTCAAGAATGAACACCTTTGTTGGAAAAGCCTTTTGTTTTTCTTGATTTTGACTCATTCACCTTATGGCTCCAAGATTGAAATCCTCTACCTCACCATACCAAATGCTCCAAGAGATGAAGAGAATGCAATCAAGAAGTATGGATGCTAATATACTTCTTGATTGGGCCAATTTTTGGTTTATGGAAGATGAGATACAAAGATGATCACTCATCAACCAAAGTAGGAAACTAAAAATCCCTAGCTAGGTTTTCTCCAACACTTAGCTTATATAGGATAACACAAAAGGCAATTGGGTGGGTATTTGGGGCTCCATTTGGTCCATGGGTCATGTCATCTTATGCCACTTATCCCTTGGGCCCAATAGCCTTTTGGGTTATTTTGTCACTTTCCTTTTAAATCATATTTAAAATCTCAATCCAATATTTCTATATATCAATATTAATTCCATAATTAATCTTTTAATTATAATTTAACTATTAAATTATAATTATAGTCTTACTTAATTGACTTGGTCGAACTATTTGACTTCAGTCAATTGCTCCGATCAACATGTTGACTTTTAACCATTGACTTCGACATTTGAGTATCAACCATTGACTTGTGTCCCCTCATTTCATTTCTCTTCATTTGTACCTCTAATCACATTATTTTGGTGTGCTGATCCGCAGGTTCCCTTTAGCAAGGTAGTGGGTTGACTGAACTCCTCAGAGATGATATACAAATTAAATTCCACAATTTAATTCTTCTATTAATAAAGGTTAATTGAAACCTTTTAAGACATCCACAAACCTTGGTTGTTGCCTAGCAGCAAATCACGGTTATTCAAGCTAAATGAGACGTTGTGAAATAACCTATTCAAATTGGAATGACCGTGCAATTGAATCCTTCTCTTATGTCAATACTTCTTATTCACATTATTAGATCATGGAATCCGATTGTCAATATCCTAATGTGAATCATTCCTTTTATATGATTATCCTGGTAAGATTTGAAGACTTTTTCTTTAAAGTCTTATCTACTACTCTGCGCATAGATTTGACCAATCATATCTTAGAGTATTATCTCTCCTTTACTGAGAGTAGAGATTTCTTGTTGTACATTTATTTGCTTCCATGACTCTATTGAGAATCCTGATGAGCACCTTTAAGCTATCCCTAATTCAGCATAACCGTATAGTGCACTCAAAGATTAACAACATAGCCACAAAACATCTATGATGCCTCAGGTCTAAGGATTAGTTTGCACCATTGCAATTTATGAGTTCCAGCTTGACATGTGAGTAAAGACTTCTATGATGTAACTCATGCGTTGGATCATCTCCAGTGTACTTGTTCTTCTACAAACACCTACACACATATCGATGTGTCTCCACACTTAATGACTTGAGACCTTATCATTCCCTACATATAGAAACGATACTATATGTACTAGTCTTTGCGAAATATTGACATCCAATCAATATTCGTATGACCAGGAACATATTCAGGATTTAGGGATGGTGAGAAGTCTCCATGTATGCAATCTCATTACAGAGCTCTCATATCCACTTGTGTATTCCTTGGACTATGGTTGTTCTACATATTGAAAAATAATATATGATGATTTAATGTATAAAACAACCTTTCTTGCCTATTGATAACATAATATGTTTTTTTTTATCAAAGATGTCCTGAACTCTAACTATTACACAATTAGTTAGCTTTAAGGACATATTTCTAACACTCTCCATCCACCACTCACCACTCACCCACCCACTCACCAGCCACATGGCATTTTTTGGTTGAGATGGACTCTATTGTTTAAATGAGGGTTCGTCATCGAGGTGGGCCACCCACGGCCCGCCCATTGCCCCTTTTTTTTCTTTTCTTTTTTGGCCTTATATTGCCTGGCCTTATTTCCATTATAAACATTTAAGTAAATTTCATGTCTTTTTACTTTAATTTACTTTTATATTACTCCATTTATTTAAGTTTACAATATAAATAAGGAAGTAAACCCCCCCCTCCCCCCCCCCCCCCCCAAAAAAAAATTGGATTCAATTAAAAATACTAGAAAATCAAATTTCCAACAAATCAAAATATGAAAATCTTGTTTTAGTATAAGATACAGTTTATACTAATAGTGATACCTCAATAAGTCAATGTGTGTTTTATACTAAAATCTCATAAAATCGTGTTTGCTTAATTTAAGATTGAAGGAATATAAATTGCTAAAAATATCATGGAAAACATTAGTATTTGAAAAGTCTATTTTCATACTTAGTCAAATTTTTGAGAGAAAACAGTTTTTCAAGTATAATATGTAGTAATCTATATTATTGTGCACCAAAAGCTACAAAAATGAAAACCTATATGAATGGGGGGTTCTCTCTCTCTCTCTCTCTCATTATAATAGTGAACCATACAAAGACGAAATGAGTTATAAATAATGCAACCAATCAAACCCAAATAATGCAATGCAACAAAACTTTGCCTTTTCTAATTTAGTATTATCACTACAATTATTTTATTAATTGGAACCGACCGACAGACAGAAAGGAAAGAGAGACCATTTTGGTAATTCCAAGAAAAAGTAAGGGCTATATATATAACACATGACGCATGAAATTAGCTGGCAGCATTACAACTGCAAGTAAAATTTGGTGTACTGCATGTTCTCTGCACCATCAGTTTCTCTGCTTCACAACTCAAACTCCAAGAAGAATGGAATTACAGAGAAAGTACTGCAGCAATCTTTTCTTTTTTCTTCTTCTTCTTCATTCATTCTTCTTCTCAGGATCTGTTGATGCTTACAAGAACTACACAGTAGGAGACTCTTTGGGTTGGTATGATAACCTCCAAAACCCCAAACTTAATTACCAGAAATGGGTTGCTGCCAAGAACTTCAGCTTGGGAGATTTTCTCAGTAAGCTTACCTAAACCCTACCCTTCAATTCATTTATTTGCTTGAATAATCACTTCCTCTCTCTCTCTCTCTCTCTCTAGCCTCCCCTTTTTTTTCTTTTCTTTTTTTACCTCCTCTTTATTTGCATAAAATAATATTAATTTGGTGCTGGTTCATCTTGAATTGTGATATTATTAATTGGTGTATATATGCAAAGAAATTCTATATTTTTATTTTTAGGATTATTCAAGTTTTGTAGGATTAATTGGTGTTTATATGCAAAGAAATTCTTTTTTTTTTCTTTTTCTTTTTTCTGAGCCATTCCCTGCTTTAATTAAATTAAATTGTCAAAACTTCGAGTCTGGAAATTAAAGAATTTGTGGTCTGCTACGTACAAAAATATTCTTTTTTTGTTGTTGTTATTTTCTTCTAGAAAAAAGAAGAAGAGAATTTTCAGATGTGTCTTTTCCAAGAAGAGCATCAATTTTAGTGAAAAAGGTAAAGCTAAATAAGACTCAAAGCGAGAAGCATTAAGAAAAGGACATCTTAGTTTGCTCCAATTACAATCAAGCGCACTGTGAAACCATGTGTGCTTCACGTGTAGTGTGGCCACCACCGACGCCAACCGATCACATGCCACAGACTCTGATAAGAGTATTGTACAACACAACCACCGTTTTCTTGCTTTTAAATTATTCTACTTCAGTCAAGGTCCAAGGATAACTTTTTCGTACGTGTTTCAATTTAGTCGTTCCGTCAATTTCTGTTCATTTTTCCGTCTATTTGAGGGTAAAATCATCGGTTTGTATTCTAATTATCCTTTCAAAATCAATGACATTGTTGCGGAAAGACAAAATTGAAACGAGTGTGAGAGTTGGATGACCAAAATAAAATTAGGGTAAGTTCAAAGACCTTTGCGTTAAAATCTATGATAGAAATGTATTTTTATAAAATTTTGTGGAAATTAATTAGTTATATTTTTTTGGTAAATTAGTTGATAAAAATGACTTATCTTTTGTTTTTTTTAAGAGGAGCAGATAGTGGTTGGGAAAATGGATGGCAGCACATGATGAGTTGGGTTGGGTTTTTATATAATAATATTTGGGTCAAATGTGAAGAGAAAAGGAAAACAAATGCGTTGATTAACTAATAATTAAGTTAAGACCCTTAAGTTAAACAAACCCAAACTGGCCGAGACTAGTTGACTAGGACAATGAGACCGCTTTTTCGATATCTTTTTTCACCGAAATTCGAATTTCCTTTTTGTGAATTAAATTAATTTAGATTATTTTATTCCTGTATAAAAAACGAAAAATTGTATTTCTGTGCTGATATTTTTTTATTTATGTTTATGTGCAGTTTTCAACACTGACACGAACCACTCGGTTGTGCAAACATATAACTTGACGACATACAAGCTGTGCGATTACGACGATGCTCAAGAAAACGACACGATCCAATGGTCGTCGGCAGACCCATCAAACACGGCCCCACATCCAGTCTCCGTGGAAGTGCCTTTGCTGAAAGAGGGCATGTCGTATTTCTTTTCGGGCGATTACGACGGCGAGCAATGCAAGAATGGCCAGCACTTTAAGATCAACGTCTCTCATGGCCAAGGCCTGCCCAAGAGCTTACAAGACCCGGCCGCACAGAATCAGTCCCCAGGTCCAGCAAGCGGACCCCAGTCTGGTAACGACGATGATTCGGTCCCGGATACAATCGTTCCTTCCAATTTCGATCACCCCCACGAGGACGACACAGAGGAGAAAAACCCATCTGGGTCGGTTGCTTTATCAATTTATGTGACGCAAGGAATGGTAGTTCCGTTTTTTATTTTATTAATGCGTTTTTATATATTTTGATTATTATTTTTTACATTTTCAAGCTATTTAATTTTTTAAAGTAATTAATTTTGAGTTTTTCTCGTCAAATAGACTATATATGAGTATTTGTATAATACGTCATATAAAAATGGACTTTTTACTAAAAAATCTATTTTAATTTGGTGTGTGTTCGCTGTACGTGGTTTGTTTGCTTGTTTAGGCATTGGTTTATTCTATTGTAACAAGTTAATAAAAATAATTGAAGTGTTGGCTTATGCGTTACTTCTTGTGGGTTCTTCTAGATTTGGAAAAGGCATTATTCTTGGGGAGCATTTCGCTTAACTCAAGGTGTATTATCCCTATTTTTCTCAACACTTGGCACGTGTAATGTGTTTATAGATAATCATGGTTTTATAAATATAAAGTGAAGAGTTAACTATAGTTATGTCTATGGACACGTATTATGTGTTGAGTGATGTATATTTTGGGTTAAAGTGGTAAGCAAAAATATTTCTATTATGCTTATGAATCTTTTCTAGCTTTAGATGGAGAGCGAGAGGGAATAAGGACCGATGATTGGAAATGAGATCAATAATTATTTGTTGGGTACAGATGGTTTGCCAACCCACTACTACATCGAAATACCTTTAACTTTATCTTCTTCCTTTCTCCTAACTTAACCCTAACCTTCCTTTTGTTCAAATTTTATTTCATTTTTCTAATGGTTGGGTGTTGTCCAACCATATAGACAAGTAATTTCAATTTGCACGTAACACCATTGCCCTAGATTCATCTATGTCCCTCAAAACGAAATTGCTCCTCATTGGTAGCCCCATCCTATGGCACGTATCACGTGTTGAATGGTGAATATTTTGGGTTAAAGTAGTAATAAAAAATATTTCTATTATGCTTCTAGCTTTAGATGGAGAGAGAGAGAGAGGGAATAAGGACCGATGATTGGAAATGAGATCAATAATTATTTGTTGGGTACAGAGGGCTTGCCAACCCGTTATTAAATCGAAATACCTTTAACTTTATCCTCTTCTTTTCTCCTAAACTTAACCCTAACCTTCCCTATGCCGTTCAAATTTTATTTAATTTCTCTAATGGTTGGGTGTTGTCTAACCATATAGACAAGTAATTTCAATTTGTATGTAACACCATTGCCCTAGATCATCTACGTCCCTCAAAATGAAATTGCTCCTCATTGTTAGCCCAAAAAAAAAAAAAAAAAAAAAAAAACTCCTAGTTGCACAGACCTTGAGGGGGGAGGAGGCAACTGCTCTTCCTCCTCCCTTCCTTTCTCCTTTGACGCACAAATCTCTCTCCTCACTCATACTTTTCCCTCTCTTGTCCTCTCATCTCCTTCCCACGCCACCTCCCCTCCCTTCTTACACACCCATCCCCTCACTTTCCATCTCCTTTATGTTTTTTATTTTTTATGTTTATTTTTTATCTTTTTGCAGATTTAGGATTCGGGTTTTTGATTTGCTTGGAGACGATGTGGTTGCCTTTGTTTGTTTGTAATAAGTGCATCCACTCTTTTTGAGTGTTGCATTGTTGAGCCAATTCTTAACAACTAAAATGAGTTATTAAAAACGACAACTTTAATTCTCGCAAGTGCACGAACCGTTTATAGTATAACTTATGTAAATACGAGGTTGATCCCACGGAGAATGGTAACTTGGTTCCAAGTTAAATTACTTAGAATGCTAGAAAAACATAGAACAGAGAAACTGACTGACTAGCTAAAGGCAAGGTCGAATTCAACAATGCCTCTTGCTAATTACTCAAGGTCTAGGACAGAATCCTAGCACCACATACGCACTCAAAATGGAGGGTTTTGTTGTTGAAATGAAAAGAAGAAAGTGAAATGAAAGTGCTCGAAAGTAAACACTGGACAGATTGTGAAACAATAATTGAGAGGTGTCCCACTAGTTTTCCTATCCAAGTTATGAATGCATAAAAATTGACTCAAGCTTCATCAACAATAGATTAACGCATACAAGCCTATGGTATCTAGGCGCAGGATGCATGATTCTCCTAATGCATGTAATCGTGCATGGTATCTACACAACACGTGATCTCTAATATGCAACCTAAGCATGGTATCTACTAGAATAAAGCATACAAGAGTCATTAAGCTCTATGAGAATATGATAATCACACAAGTCCTAGAATATGGTATCTGTCCTAGTCAACCTATGTTTATTAACCCCTTGAATGATTCTTAGGCCATTCATGTGTTGCTTGTGAAATGAGAGTAGAATTAGTGAATCTAAACCCCTTCCCAACCTGTGCTAGATGCATAAAATCCTAGTTAGCTCCTCCAAGAAAACATACATCAAGCACATAATAAACTGGAGATTAACAACTTGATAATGAAAGCAAGGAAATCAATTAACTATAAAATCATCCATAACATTGAATATTCATGACTAGGGCTTTATTCTAAACCCTAACTAAATGGATTAGTTAAACATAACTATGAATACAAAAAATAAGAAATAAATAGATAGGATAAAGAGAAGAGAAGAACTAGCTGGCAGCAATGTAGTTCCCAGGACAGCTCCAAATTCTCTTCTCTCTTTGTGGTGAATCTGAATGTGTGTATGAGAGTAATGGATGAAGTGAATGTGTGTGTCTAACTCCCTATTGAATGAGTGTGCAACTCTCTATTTATAGAGTACAATTTCGTCCTCCCCTTTGGCTGATGAAGCACACCTCTCTTAGCTGCTCCCAACTGCTCCAGCTGCCCATACTTGCCAACTGCTCTAGCTGACATACTTGCTAACTGCTCCATCTGCCAAATACATGCTTTGGTATGGTTTCTTTATGAAACGCTTGACTTTTGTTCATCTTTCTGAGTTCCTGAGCTGATTTGACTCCCATGTGTGGCTGCCTATGTGTAGCACATGGCTCTAGGGATGTAGCCACATTAAATGTGATGGCAGCCAACATGACATTTTTGTGAACTTGATTTAGTCTTTGATGTGCTGAGGGCTCCAGATTTATCCAATTGGGCTGAAATTTGGATATGTTATAATTTGGATATGTCTCCTCATCCGACTTGTGTAAGTTGCTAATATGAGGCCTGCAAGATGACCTAAGAAACTGAACTGACAAGGAGTGTGGCCCAAATTGGGTTTGTCTTTAAGCTCATATTCCTCTTATCCCAATCAGCCCTTAACAAGCATGGATTGCATCAAATGTGATCTCTTGCTGTCTTAACCTACAAAACAAACAAAAAGAGGTAAGTGACTCAAAATTAAGAGAAACTAAGCAAAGTCACTAAGTAAAGAAAGCATGCGAATGTATGAAATTATGAACTTATCATGCATGTTCGTAGTCTGTACTTGTAATTTTTGTTTGTGGAAGTTAAAAGATTGTAGGTTGTAGTTGTAGTTCTGTGTGTTGAGATGCGTTGTGGTCTACGCCTGACTTTTGTAAGCTTGCGATTTTTATGTCGGAATTTCTTTGGCACTATGTGTGGAGGTACACTTGTGCATATGATGTTGTTTTTGGAGTCCTCTATATTTGGATTAACTATTTGTAGGTACTGCACTTCTATACTTGTAATAATCTTATATGATTATCTATATTTATATTGGCTCTTGTGGCTGACGACATTTGTGCTTAATTATAAAAGCAATCTATCATTTTTATTTCAATATTAAAAATAAAGATTCTAATGGCAAATGCTACTCTTGATACAACGACTTTCTTTTTGTGGTTGTAGCACTCCAAACAAAAGAATAACGAAAGTCGAGTATATTTGAACTCTCCAAACAATAAGATGGAAACATATTTTACGTTCAAATTTTTGCATAAATAATATAAAGGAAAAATTCATCAAATCTACAAAATGATTTGTTGTATTGTGTTTTCTCAAAGTGAGAAAGGTGAAGGAAGTATTGTGTTTTCTCAAAAACAAGGTTTATCAAAAATTCATTTGATAGGCAATGGAAGACTTTAAACAAAATTCTAGAGTTTGAAGACAAGACTTTTCAAAGGATCTTGCGGCTCAAAACATTGATGTGCAACACAAGACACCATACATGAAAATAAAGAGATAAAGGTAGATAAAAACTCACCCATCGAGCGCAACTTGAGTCCAAGTATTCCACCAAGTGATGGTGGTAGAATCCACTTTCCACGTCTTCTCCAAGTCACAAACTAGTGACCTCCAAAGACTCCACACCAAGCTGTCTCTTTGGAAGTGTTAAGGCCTAAAAAATTCACGAGAAGCCCAAAAACATTTAAGGCCCAATATAACATATAATGCTAGTCATGCGTTAATCCAAGCTGTACTTTGGGAATTAATTCATTAAATAAATATAGAAATAGTGTGCATGCCATGCCCAATAATACATTTTTCATATGTCAATCACCTACCAAGCTCACATGAACCCAAGTCATGTGGTTTACGGGGCTTACACGAGGGATTGTAGTGTGAAAGGTTACAAAGGTCCATAAGGCCCACAGAAGCTCTTGGATAATGGAGACTTTGGGCTAGCTACTTAGGAGCACCAAAGTCCAAGCCCATTACTTAGAGTTCTCCAATGTGGGTGAGCAAATGAAATATTTTTCAAGCACTTCTTTTTACCCATAGGAAATAGTCATTTTCCAATGCCTAACTTTACCCACTGGAAATAAGAATGTCCCAATACTCTCTTTTACCCGCTAGAAACAAGCCACTTCCAACACTTCCTTTTACCCATAGGAAATAGTTATTTTTCAATGCCTAACTTTACCTACTGCTGGAATAAGAATGTCCCAATGCCCCCTTAGACCTGTTGGAAATAGACTAGCTCCAACACTTCCTTTTACCCATAGGAAACCAAAGAGAGACTTCACCTTCTATAAATTGGGAGGCATTGCTCAACCAAGACCAACCCCTCTTAGTTGCTGCAAGCTTCTTAGCAATCATGAAAAATCACATTTCCTTCGCTGCTACAAGCATTCCAGTAACCTTCACAGTCATTCCTAAGCCATCAACCTTCATCATTGGGCTGCTGGAAGCATCCTAGCAACCATCGACCAACATCTCTTGGTTGCTCAAGCATACCAGCAACTATCAGACCACTTTCCTTCCTCCATTTGGCTGCTGCAAGCATTCCAGCTGCAATCCCAGCCATTCCTTAGCCGTCACAACCATGTCTTCTACTTTCTCACCCTTGAAATCTATCATCTTCTCCATAAAGCCTTACCAAGCATGACTCCAAGCTTTTCCTTCCTTCCAAGCTATAA